TTATTTATATTACATAAAGAATCATGGATGCATGTTATTGACCCTTATGGTCTCTTAGCATTTTCATAATTAAAAAGGGCATCGTTGTTACTAATTCTGAGGGAATTTGACTGGTCATGAAAGTTGTAGTTATTAGCTTATTCCTCTAGTACAAGATTGGTAGTTGTACTTGTACTATCATTAATCCAACCACGTTAAGGAGAATTCTCTTTCTTCTTTTGGCAATTCTATATTATTTTGGAGTGCTTTAGACTATTAATTGCTTGACAATCCATTATATTCACAGAATATCAAAAATTTGATCAGGCTAGTATTTCATAACCTTTGTTAGATTTGATGTCTTTTACCCTTATGGTTTAATAATTTTCAATCAAGTTAAGAAATTTTTTGAAGCATTCTCAGAGCTTCAGGTTTATGCAAAGTCACATGAACATACCACAAATTTGTGAGAAATCAATGATAAAGATAACACAATATTATGCTATGTGTCTTTCCCTCACACTCATAAGACTGAACACCAAAGTGAATGTTCAAACTTGGTTACTTTTTAGAAAGGTTTTCTGAATATCTTAGTAGCCTATGTTTACATGGAAACATGTCCTTTTAGACACATTGCTTAGCAAATCCTCTTTTGCTCATTTGATCATTTTCTCTTAATCAATATGACTTTAGTCTAGTATAGCATGGTAAAAAATTAAAATTATTGTTTTCAAGACTATTGAAACCATATTTCAAAAATGTGTCCCATTATTGATTGGTTGTTAACTAAAGAAGTAAGAGACATAAGATTTTATTAGTTGTATGGAGCATAGAGTATATTAGATAGTACTAGGATGGTTCTCTTTGCAGAATTAACATGTAGGTTCCAATCCCTTTGACTTCTACTCTTGTGCCATTTTAATCAAGAGCCATTTGCTTTTTTGACATCCAATGAAAATCAGTGAAAGCTTTGCTTCTGTGGTCTATTATCCTTAAGTCTATAATTTATAAAGGATTAGATTTAGCTTTGAGAATAGTACCAGATGCACATGCAAAATGTGAGGAGATCTTGTGCATTTTTGCTACTCATAGTGATTCTTGTCAAGGTGCATTGTTTCTCAACAAGAATTGTACTTTACCTTTATTAGGTCTAGTCTCTTTTGTAGGCCTATTACCTTTATTATAGTTAGGTTTAGAGGATAAATCCTCTACCTCTATAGTTAAGAACATATGGCTAGTGGATTTTCCAACATCTAACATTTTAGTCTCAAGCCTAATGTAGCGAACCACATCATTAAAGGTTACAATCTTTTATTATGAGTAAGGTTTATATTTATGTGCTCCCACTCACCAGGAGAATTCTTTTGATAGCATGTATTTGCTGTGTATTGGAAAGAACATGCCCGTTTGGCTCATTTTTTAGTCTTATTTGACATTTTACCTCATGTATTGTGTTTATAGATGTGTTAGGTCTTATGAGGGTTAAACATTCATTAAGTTCTTTGTGACAAGAGTGTCAACATTTGACATAGCCTATGTTGTATTACTCGAATTGGCATGTTATGCCGTCATACTTTGTACTAAGTATAGTGATTTTTTCTCTTTCAGATAGCCATAAGCTTCCTATTTCATTTGAAGTGTTTCAGCTTTCTAGTATTGAAGAATGGTTGGTAAGATATCCATGACGTCTTATTTCTCATGAATAAAAGAGATTTAGCAGCATCTCAAACCGTTGTTATCTCTTATTGAGCTTGACTCATTAGCAAAGGTCAGTCATATGAACTTGATGATCATAACTTGGTCACATAGATAATTATACATTAGGGAATACAATTTGTTCTTGTTCAAGTGAGATAAGGATTACTTAGATGACAAATTCACTAGTTTTGTGTTCAAGAGTCAACTATGTTGGCTCCCATCCCACTCGTGTTAGTTAGCTCATCACTTTCTTTAACCGTAATCTTACTTAAAGACATTTCCCTTCTTGGATTTCTAGGCATCACAGTCCAGTAACTCCCACTCAATTAAAGCAATTATAAGAAAAATAATAACCCAGTATTTTATCATAATTGCATGAATGCTCATAACCAAAAATAATTTATTTAACTTAACTCTAGGGAGGAAATTTAACACAAAATTCAACTAAAAAGAACATTTTAATGTCTAAGCAATATCTTATTATTGTTTCATTAAGAGTGGGATTGACTCACTTATATCACATTAATATTGGCATAGTACTTAGTATCTACTTTATTGGATGTGTTTGTGTTTTGCAGCATACCTCCCACTTGTTTTTGTTAAGATGATAGCCTTGCACCTTTTATGGTTACACCCCTTATCACAATACTTGTGAAAAGGGGTGATGTTCCTTTCAATCTCGATCTCTTCAATGTGTTTGAAGGTTTGTGAGGACTTATTAACTTTATTTAATAAGTTTGTCTTATTTAGATTGCTGTAAAATTAATTTTTATTTCCTATCTCTCTAAGTTTTGAGTGTATGTTGTGAAAAATAGACATGTGTAAATCACTTTTAATTATGAAAAACTTTTCAGTATAAATATTAGCTTTTTATCTCATTTTAGAAAAATCTCTTAAGCTATCTAAAATCAATTATGAATTTAAATTCAACTATAAAGGTTTTAGGTGTTTTCTGCATGTAGAATGACTTTATCCTACTTTAAGATAGGTCCAAACTTGCTTCAAATATAGGCCAATTGCATATTAAATGAAGCTCTTGAATTTAAGAATTTTTAAGGACAAACCACATTTTAATCGGAGGTCCCATGTACCCACAAGCACTTTTTAGAAGGTTTTGAAAACAAAAATTCAAGAAAAACAGAAAAAATATTTATTTTGACCATTGGACCTAGAAGTGGACCCTACTTACCACTAAAGAAAGTGAGAGGAAAAGTTTTTTTTTTTTAAATTTTAAAAAAAGTCAAACTTCAACCATTGATTGGTCAACAGTCAACAGTTGACTGTTGACTAGTCAAAGGCATTGCAAATGACGTTAGCGATGAAGTCATTGTCTTCAACCTCTAATTGGGTTGGGCTCGACCTAACTGGAGCTTTGGCGGGTCTGTTTGACTTGCCAACTTCGAATGTCCACATCTTCCTCATTTTAATTCTGTTTTTCATGTTCTTGGTATCATTGGTTTATAGTGAGGCCAAATCAATTCCTTTCTACGAGTGCAATGCCAAATGTTTCGTTGAAAGTTGAAACTTGATTACTTGAAAGTATGCAGTACGCACCATTGAAAATTTTAGTATCTAAAATAAAAAAACAATATTTTTTAGTTTAAATTATTTATATTGATACAAATAAAAATAATAATACTTAAAATAAGATATAAATCTTTAACATTATATTACCTCCTATTTTTAATATAAAAATTAGTTGGGAGTTTGGATTTGATTCTAAATATGACTTTCATTAGAGCTGGTAAAGTGGGTTAGCAGTGCGGAAATGGGCTAGCTCGCAGCGGTGCAGGCCAAAAGTGATGTGGGTTGAAGTAGTATGCACCTTGTCAGGTTGGCAAAATGTTAACTCGAGCTCACCAAGGCAGGTCTGCCTAAATATTTTTTTAAATAAAAAGCTGTTATTATTATTATAATAATTATTATTAGTTGAGTTTAGTTTAAAGTGTTAAAATTAGACTTGAAGTGTTGAATTTGAGGAGCAGGTTGTAATAAAATAATATGAGAATTAATTTAATTTAAATAACACATTTTTTATATAACAGTAGTGGTTTGAAGATATTTTAGAAAAACTAACACATTTTTTATGAATAATTAATTTAACTGGTTTTTTTATCCAAGTTAATTACGTAAATCTTTTATGCATATATATAAGTAATACATGTTTATTTAATCTTATAAAGGCTTGTATAATAATGCAACAAATAGATGGAAAATAAAAGATGGATGATACTCTTTATATAACTATACACACATATATAAAGTGATTAATTACATATGCAATAATATAAATGAGGCATGCAATGTCCATATGAAATTTGAGAGGTCAAAATCCTCCAACTATATTATATAACATATTGGGAGTTATATGGGGAAAAAAAGGGCAACCTGGGGCAAAGTAGGCCCAAAGCTGTGTTTGCAGGCTGAGCCTGTATTATCGACCCTAAATTTCATCCACTTGCTCTTCATTTTTTCTTAAAATATTCCAATTGAATGTAAAGGATTTTCACCAAGAAATAATTTCAATAATCTAATTTTAAGAAAATTAACACACATTTGCGATAAATAACCAATTTAATTAATTTTTTTATTTTCAAATTAGTTATCTAACTCTCATATTAAAGACTAAAAGTAGTACATAATTGTTTTATTCCACTCCATTACATCAGGGTCTAAAATTAATTTTTCATATCATAAAAAAATTGAAATATTATAATCAAGTTAAATTTATATTCCATCCGGTAATATAAGCTAAATTTTATTAGAGGGGCTTATTTTTAATAAGATAACATTCACTTTTATTTAATTATTTAATGAGTTTTTTTTTTCAATTTTATCCTCATACATTCTCTTTCCTCTTTAATTTATTTATTGTGCTATGTTTTACTTATTTTCTTTATTAATAAGGGCATGTCTGGAAAAAAAATACATGATTTACATATTTATTGTTTCAAACTTATTTTAATTAATTTCTTGATAAACATAAATGTATAAAGTTTAGTTTAGTATATTTGAATCGGATTTTCATTCTCTATTTATAAAAAATGTCATAAAAACCTTTTCTACTCAAATAAAAAAAGTATTAATTAAATAATCAAAAGCTTTGTAGAATTAATATAATATTCCTAAAATAAAGGAGAACCAGAACAAGAAACAAATCTGAAAATGATACATTTTCACTCATCTCATTGTCGTGGAACTACCGACCAGTCCTCTGCCGCCATATGCAAACGTACTCACTCACGTCATTCGCCCACCGTGATATTCATTTCTGTGTGAATTTCAGTCCTATTTATACCCCAACTGAATCGTCGTCTCTTTTCATATGGTCAGAATTCGAAGGCCAATAACTTTGCTGAGGAAAAACTATACTTGTAGTTTTGTGTAGAAATGGCTGCTGAAGCTCCCGTTATTCCTCTTTTAACACCTTACAAGATGGGCAATTTCTGTCTATCGCATAGGTATTAACGCTTCCTACTCATTCCTTCCATTTTTCTGCCGTTAGCTTATGTGGATCAAGTGTTTGTTAGAAATCCCAGATGAACAGTGCACGGGTCATGATGAAAATCTTACCTTGAAGTCACAAATTTTGGAATTTGTTCTGCAACTTTAAAAGAACAATTTTCTTCATGCCCATATATATGCTATTGCGCACTATGAAAAATCACTTGCATACATGATTAGTGCAGTGTACCGGAATAGGGATATCTCTTGCGTTGCATTTAGTGCATGCGCACTTAATGGCTGACCAGAATCGGAACTGGGCTCACTGGTCAATATATAGCTTAGGAGAATTGCCCCTGTGATTGGTCGTATCGGATTAATTTAACTATTAGTTGAACATTCAGTGGTTTTTTATTTGAAATTTCATTGTCTTTTGCTATCCAGAGTTGTTTTGGCTCCACTGACTAGACAGAGATCTTATAATAATGTTCCTCAGCCCCATGCTATCTTATATTACTCTCAGCGAACTTCCAAAGGGGGTCTTCTGATAGCTGAAGCTACTGGTGTTTCTGACACTGCTCAAGGGTAATTTGTGCCCTTCATAATTCGTTATCATAATTTTATGCCTGTTTGCTAGGAAGTTCACAAATTTTTTTCACCCTTTCAATGTAAAGGTATCCTCAAACACCAGGTATTTGGACAAAAGAGCAAGTGGAAGCATGGAAACCCATTGTGGATGCTGTTCACGCTAAAGGTGGAATATTCTTTTGTCAGATTTGGCACGTTGGAAGGGTTTCAAATTCAGGTATTTGCTTGCTAAATTTATCTGCTGCTCTGGGAAAAGTAGCTACAAAATTATCTGTCTTTTGAATTGAATGTCTTATAGAGAATTTCAGAATGTTTCAGTGTATTATGGCTGAGAATGGCCTAAAATATGTTATATGTCAATTAGTTCAACACACCCGTTGGGAGTGGTTATATTGTAAGCCTTCTATTGTCACCTTCTCTACTCCTACCTGTTGTTTAAGTCTATGGGTTTTCACCATAACAAGTATGGTTTTCAGTTTTTACTCTAGATCGGTTTCCAGAATGCATAATTATAAATGCGCCATTACTGCAAGAATTTGTTAATCAAGATAAAACCTGAATGATCAAGATATTATGCATGCTCAGTGGAAAAACAGTTCAAGGAAATAATAAAAAATGGAAAAAGGTAATATCTCTAAGGATAAAACCTGAATTTGGTTGAAGTGTAATATCTCTAAGGATCTTTGCTTTTTATGCACACACATATTTTCTATGACATCAATCAAATCAGTTCTAGCAAGGTACTATCCTTCAAGAACCTGTTAACTCCTCCCAATGTGCAGAGTAAATTAATAAATAAAAAATGGAAAAAGGGGGAACATTAAAAAAAAAAAAAAAAAAAAACGTTTCTGTCGAGTTTTCTATTGCAGTGAAAAGCTTTATGATAGTACTCCCTCTATGAAGGAAAGAATGCTTCATAAACAATTAAGTTGCATCTCTTTATGGAAATTGAAAATGATGCTGTATATGTGGTTTCTTCCTCCAACATGTTGAAATATGAATGATTCATGGGTGATACCCATAGGCAGGAAATACATTAGGCTCTCTAATTTGCACCTCCATTCTGCTACGATATTTCTATTCTTTCCCCATCTTCATTGTCCTACGACTTGAATAAATGTGCTATCTGATGTTTGTAGATCCAGTATCTCTCCATCTTATATAGTTTTCAAACAGATTATCAACCAAATGGGCAGGCCCCAATATCTTGTACAGATAAGGGACTTGCTCCGCAAATTCGGGCTAATGGAATTGATGTAGCACAATTTACACCACCAAGGAGGCTGAGGACAGATGAAATTCCTCAAATTGTCAATGACTTCAGACTCGCTGCAAGGAATGCTATGGAAGCTGGTACTTCCACTCACTTTAGTGTGATAAGTCACAAGCATAATCCATATAAGTATTTGGTAGAATGGCAAGTTACTTCAAATAACTTTCTTAATACTGGATCGCTCCTTAGACCAATGAAGGCATAGATTTGTGGTTTTATTGATTTGACCATAGTTGAATTAGTTATAATTAATTTCGTATTTTTAATTTTATATGTACAGATATTATATTAAAAAGTTAAAAAAATTATTTTCTTAACGTTTACTAGTTCTTGACCAACTTTTATCAATTTTGACTAGTTTGTGACTTGTTTTATGTTTTTGTTGCAATTTTCAACTAGACTGGTGTTGGAAGCATTTTAGACCAAATCAGGATCTTGATTGCCAATTGACATATGAACTATTCCAATATTATTCCCAATTTGGTTTTACAAATTATTCAATTTCTTCTTTTAATGCATTCCTTCAAGTTATAAATAGCAGGATTACATATCACTATGGTCCTTCTAGTGTCACTAGAGGTTCAATTTGGTCCCTCTAATTGAGAAGCAGTTGATGTTGCATTCCTATTTGTTGCAGCTGAGAAGCAAAACAGGGGAGGAAGATAAAAAAGGAAGAAACTTTAGAGAGATCAATTTTACCCACATACCACCTTTTTACGTCTACATCCAATATTTAATGTCAAACCTAAGAATTTATTAACACATGCCAAATCTAACATTTTTCAGAAGTGATGTAATGGTTATGGTAGTATGGGTATGAAATTTTTATCTATATGGATGCAACAAGTTTAAGAAGATAATGCTTGTCCAATTGTAGGTTTTGATGGGGTTGAGATTCATGGTGCCCATGGTTACCTTCTTGACCAGTTTATGAAAGATCAGGTTAATGATCGAACAGATGAATATGGCGGATCACTAGAGAACCGTTGTCGATTTCCCTTGGAGGTCGTTAAAGCTGTGTCAGATGAGATAGGACCTGAGCGAGTTGGAATTAGATTATCACCTTTTGCGAATTATTCTGAATGTGTAGACTCCAATCCTGAAGAACTTGGCCTATACATGGCAAATGCTCTGAACAAATATGGTATTCTGTATTGCCACATGGTAGAGCCGAGGATGAAGACTGTTGGAGAAAAGGTTGAGAGCCCTCATAGTCTTGTGCCAATGAGAAAGGCCTTCAATGGCACGTTCATCGTTGCTGGGGGCTATGACCGCAAAGAGGGCAACAATGCAGTGGCTGAGAACCGGGCAGATCTTGTCGCATATGGTCGCTGGTTCTTGTCCAATCCTGATTTGCCCAAGAGATTTGAGCTTGATGCTCCTCTCAACAAGTACAACAGAGACACATTTTATATTCCTGATCCAGTTGTTGGATATACAGACTATCCATTTCTAGATGGAAGTTTTCAAGTCTGATTGCTGAAGGGTGTGTTTTTGATCCCTGCTCTTCTTTACTGCTTTGTACTTGAACATTCCAATTTCAATAGTAACCTTCGTTTGTCAACAAGATTCATTAGGCAACTGTTATGTACTTGTTTGTGTCCTGCTATTTCTGTGGTTTATAGCGCTATTTCTGTGGTTTATAGCCGCCAATGGATAACAAAATTTTTGTAACTGGTGATGGATGCTTAAAGATTCCATAATTTGGCTTCCACTTTTAGCTGTGGCTTTTTGCCCATGCAAGTTGTTGTCTCTCTACCATACTAAATTAAATTATCATCGTTTGTTATTAGACATTTACTCTACATTTTAGCAAATTATGATTCGGACAGTGTATCTACTTCACCATTTTTTTAAATAAACAATGAAATAGCAAATTGAGCTGAAAAATCAGTGGTTAATATTTTTTGTCATGAATCATGGGTTTGAAGCCTGACTGAGATATACATATCTTCTCCTCCTCCTCCTCCTCCTTTTTTTTTTTTTTTCCTTTTGGATTTCTTTTTTGCTTGCACATATGCATGAGAAGACTAAATTAAGCATTGAAATTAAATGAAATTAAACATTACGGAAATTCACAGGAACAATTTGGATCCATTACTCTTAATTTTAGATGATATGGTCTGTATGCCGGAATATGGCTAAAAGATGCTTTGACTTCAATGATATTGACAAGTAAGATGATCCACAAATTTGGTTTTTTTGGTCTGAAATTTTTTGTTTACCATGAGAAAGATTATCGACAAAAGGGAAGACACACAAAATGGTTTAAATGCCTCTCATTTTTCGTTTCTAGATCATTGAGGGCAGAAAAGTAATTGCATCTTCCCCCAATAAGATCCTTTAAGACTTCTAACTTATTTGCAACTTAACTAGGATCTTTTATCAGTTACTTTTTTTTGGATCTTATTACAATGTCTCCTTAAACTTTTAAAACAGGTAATTAAAGTTAGGTCACACTCTTGATTTCTTAAAATTTTTTTTATATAATGTTAATTGTTATGAAATTAACCGACAACGAAATTATATTAGGAAAGAGATATCAACAAGAAAATAAGAGAATGATATTGTATTCCTTTTGCTTCACTTCCATCCCAATACAATGCATGCCCTATTTATAGGCATAGTCTGACACGTAAGTTACATTTGTACTTAAATAAATAGTGAATAATAAACCACATGAATGTGAGTGGGGGTGAGTTACAAGATTAAAGGCATAATGGAGAAGTAATGGAGTAGTGGAAGATTAATGTCTAGTGGAAATAGTGGGAGTTGATGAAGTTGAATAGGAAAAGGAGATGGACGTTCACATGTTATAATATTCATAACATTAATATTATTAATTTTTTCACATTGTTAATGATATTTCAAATATTTAGTTGTTACTATCATTTTAAAATTAAATTTTATATAATGGTTTGATTTATTGATTTTGGACAATAATTTTTTTAATTAAATTTTAAAAAGTTGTATTAATTTGGACTTTAATAATGATTTGATTTATATTATATGTGTTGATATTTTAAAACTATATATATTTGATAAAAGAGTATTTTTATACTTATACAACTTGTTATTCTATAATTTGAATTAGAAATTTAAGAGTTTCAATAATAATGTATCTTAAACTAAAGTAAAATAATAATCATATTGCAAAATTTAAAAGTGAAATTTTTATGAAAAAAAACTTGATATTTTTATTACTATAAAAGAGCATACTTGTAAAAAAAAGTAATTGATGATAATCATAACAAAGTTTTAAAAATTTGATGATATTATTTGTCTATTGTATATTTGTATTGTTGATGAAAATTTTGGATGCAGTCTTGTTGATGGATGTTTAAATATAATGATGTTTTGTGTTTGTAAGTTAATTTTATTCATTTATGCCTTTTAGTAGTAATTTCATTGCTTTATTTTCATTTTTTTTATAAAACATGTAAAAAATATCAAAAATTGCTTTTTTTTTTTAATGGGCTGAAAGTCCCTGCGGGCTGACCCTGAGCCTATCAGCTTAAGAGCCAGGCCTAATAAAATGGGATATTTCTAAAATTTCGGCTCTACAGGACTTGTTCATATTCCCAATACTAATGATTCTGGTGGTATTAGTACTAAATTTCTATCTATATGCTTGAGCTTGAAAATGTAACTTGATGCAACAAGTTTAAGAAGATAATGCTCATCCAATTGTAGGTTTTGATGGGGTTGAGACTCCTTGATACCTTCTTGACTAGTTTATGAAAGATCAGGTTAAAGATCGAACAGATGAATTGACATCATTAGAGAACTGGTATCGATTTCTCTTGGAAATTGTCGAAGTTGTCTTAAATAAGATAGGGCCTGAGCGAGTTGGAATTAGATTATCACCTTTTGTCAATTATTGTGAATGTGGAGAGTCCAATCCTGAAGAAATCGGCCTTTACATGGCAAATACTCTGAACAAATATGGTATTCTATACTGCCATATGGTAGAGCTAAGGATGAAGACCGTAGAAGAAAGAGTTGAGAGCCCTCATAGTCTTGTGCCAATGAGAAGGGCCTTCAATGGCACATTCATTGTTGCTGGAGGCCATGACCGCGAAAACGGAAACAATGCAGTGGTTAAGAACTAGGCAGATCTTGTGGCTTATGGTCGCTGGTTTTGTCCAAGAGGTTTGAGCTTGATGCTCCTTTCAACAAGTATAACAGAGACACATTTTATATTTCTAATCTTGTAATTGGATGTACTACTACCCATTTTTAGATGGAAGTTCTTAAGCATAAAAAAAGGTAGAAAACATAAAATTTATATGAAATTATATTATTTATAAATAAAAATAGTGTGGTTGTATTTATTGTGAGGCCAAATCAATTCCTTTGTACTCTTTTGGTCCTTAATATAGACTTATTTAACTAATTTAATTAAATTAAGGAAGTTAGGTAAGTTAGTTAATTATAAGAAATATGACATTTTTTTTTAAAACACCATAGTCATCTTTCTTAATATCCTTCTTCTTATTCTATTTGATTATAATTGAGAGATTATTTATACGGATAATTTAAAAAAAATTGATAAATATGAGAAATAATTATGTTTTATATTAAGTACCGGTGAAGTACAATGCAATGCCCAATGTATAATTGAAACTTGATTACTTGAAAGCATGCGGTATGCACCGTTAAAAGTTTTAGCATCTAAAATTTTAAAAAAATAATGTTTTTAGTTTAAATTATTTAAATTAATAAAAATATATAATATTGATGCAAATAAAAATAATAATACTTGAAATAAGATATAAATCTTTAACATTATACTACTTTCTATCTTTAATATAGAAGCTAGTTGAGAGATTGGTTTAGTAATAAATATAATACTTTAATTCACTTTGTCTTTTATATTTTTTTAAAATATTTTTATTGATTGTAAGAGGTTTTCATAAAAAATAATTCTAATAATCTAATATACATGATTGAAAAGATAGTTTAGCTAAATTGATACACATTTATGACCAATAATCAGTTTAACTAAATTTTTTAATATCTTTAAATTAGTTATCTAACTACTATATTAAAAACCAGATGTAGTACATAATTTTTTTGATTCGGCTCCATTATATCAGGGTCTAAAAATTAATTTTTCATATAATCGCAAAAAAATGAATGTTATGATCAAGTTAAATTTATATTTCATTCTCCATTAGTAAAAAATGTCACAAAAACATTTTTCACTCAGATAAAAAAATTATTACTTAAATAATCTAAAGTTTTGCAGAATTAATATAATATTCCTAAAATAAAGGAGAACCATTCCATTTATAGCGAGGGTATCAAACCAGAAACAAGATCCAAGTCTGCAAACGACACATTTTCACTCATCTTCTTGTCGTGGAACTGCCGACCGGTCCTCTGCCGTATGAAAACGTACTCACTCACGTGTCACGTCATCCGCCAGTCCTGATACTCATTTTTCTGTTTGAATTTCAGGCCCGTTTGAAATTATTTTAGGAAAAATTTCAAATAAGGACTCCTAGTATGTAAAATTATGATTTGGGATTCTAAATTTGAAAAATAATAAATAAGGACCCGGTCTCACTTTTATAAATATAAAAGCGTGGTGAAATATTTGAAATGCTCCTCATCTAAATGATAAGTTGATTATGAGAAACGACAAGTTCATTTTAATGAATGATAACTTCAGTAGATCAAATCACAACTTAGCTGAAGGTATATCAAATGACAAGTTGACTATGAGAAATAATAAGTTCACTTTAACGAATGATAATTTTAATAGACCAAATCACAACTTGGATGAGGTACATTTTAGACATTTAACTCATATTTCATATTTACAAAAATAGGACCTGGTCCTTATTTATTATTTTTCAAATTTAGAATTTCAAATCACAATTTTATATGTTGAGAGTCTTTATTTACAATTTTTTCAATATTTTATAAGTACTGTTTAGAATTTGTAAGTATTTTTATCGTTATCCCAAACATCCTTTATCTGTTCTATCCATACGCAGCTGAATCGTAGTCTATTTTCATATCGTCCGAGTTAGAAGGCCAATAACTTTGCTGAGAAAAAACGATACTTGTAGTATTGTGTAGAAATGGCTGCTGAGGTTCCCCTTATTCCTCTTTTAACACCTTACAAGATGGGCAATTTCAGTCTATCACATAGGTATTTATACTTCCTACTAATTCCTTCCATTTTTCTACTATAAAATGTGGATCAAGTGTTTGTCAGAAATCCTAGATGAACAGTGGCACGGGTCATGATGTAAATCTTACTTTGAAGTCACAAATTTTGTAATTTCTTCTACAAATTTACAAGAGATAATTTTCCTCATGTTCGTATATTCTATTGCGCACTATGAAAAATCACCTGCATATATGATTAGTGCAGTGTACTGGAATAGGGATATCTCTTGCGTTGCACTTAGTGCAGACCAGAATCGGAACAGGGCTCAATGGTCAATATTTGGCTCAGGAGAATTGCCCCTGTGGTTGGTCATATCGGATTACTTTAACTATTAGTTGAACATTCAGTGATTTTTTATTTCAAATTTCGTTGTCTTTGGCTATCCAGAGTTGTTTTGGCTCCGCTGACTAGACAGAGATCTTATAATAATGTTCCTCAGCCCCATGCTACCTTATATTACTCTCAGCGAACTTCCCAAGGGGGTCTTCTGATAGCTGAAGCTACTGGTGTTTCTGACACTGCTCGAGGGTAATTTGTGCCTTCATAATTCGTTATGATAATTTTATGCCTGTTTGCGAGGAAGTTAACAAATTGTTTTCACCCTTTCAATGTAAAGGTATCCTCAAACACCAGGTATTTGGACAAAAGAGCAAGTGGAAGCATGGAAACCCATTGTGGATGCTGTTCATGCTAAAGGTGGTATATTTTTTTGTCAGATTTGGCACGTTGGAAGGGTTTCAAATTCAGGTATTTTCTTGCTAAGTTTATCTTCTGCTCTGGGAAAAGTAGCTACGAAATTTTGCCTTTTCAATCGCATGTAATAAAGAGAACTGAGGAATGTTTCAGTGTATTATGGCTGAGAATGGCCTAAAGTACGTTATATGTCAATTAGATCAACACACTCGTTTGGAATGATTGTATTTACCTCCCACTGCCTTCTTCTCTACTACCCGTTCAAGTCTATGGAATTTTTTTTTTCACATAGCAACTATGGTTTTCGGTTTTCGCTTTACATCGGCTTCCAGAATGCAAAATTATAAATGCGCCATTACTGCAAGAATTTTGTAATCAAGAGAAAGCCTGAATGATCGAGATATTATGCGTGCTCAGTGACAAAAATAAGAGGATCTTTGCTTTCCACACACACGCACATTTTGTATGACATCAATGAAATCAGTTCTACCAAAGTATTATTCTTGAAGAACCTTTTTACTCCTCCCAATGTGCAAAGTAAATTAATCAATACGAAAAGGAAAAAGGCGGAACATCAAAAACTTTTCTGTCAAGTTTTCCGTTGCAGTGAAAAGCTTTATGATAGTACTCCCTCTAGCAAGGAAAGAATGCTCATAAACAATTAAGCTACATCTCTTTATGGAAAATTGGAAACGATGCTATTTATGTGGTTTCTTCCTCCAACGTGGTGAAATATGAATGAGTCTGGGTGATATCCATAGGCAGGAAATACATTAGGCTCTCTAATTTGCACCTCCATGCTGCTATGATATTTCTATTCTTTGTCCATCTTCAATTTTCTGGGACTTGAATAAATATGGTATCTGATGTTTGTAGATCCGGTATCTCTCCATCTCATATAGTTCTTGAACAGGGTATCAACCAAATGGGCAGGCCCCAATATCTTGCACAGACAAGGGACTTGCTCAAATTGGGGCTAGCGGAGTTGATGCAGCACAATTTACACCACCAAGGAGGCTGAGGACAGATGAAGTTCCTCAAATTGTCAATGACTTCAGACTCGCTGCAGGAAATGCTATGGAAGCTGGTATCTCCACTCACTTTAATGTGACAAGTCAAAACCATAATCCATATAAGTATTTGGTAGAATGGCAAGTTACTTCAAATAACTTTCTCAATACCGGATTGGTCTTTAGACCAATAAAGGCATAGATTTGTGGTTTTATTGATTTGACCATAGTTGAATTAGTTATAATTAATTTAGTATTTTTAATTTTATATGTACAGATATTATATAAAAAGGTTAAAAAAAATTATTTTTTAACGTTTACTAGTTCTTGACCAACTTTTATCAATTTTTATTAGTTTGTGACTTGTTTTACGTTTTTGTTGCAATTTTCAACTAGAGTGGTGTTGGAAGCATTTTAGGCCAAATCGGGATCTGGTTTGCCAATTCACATATAAATTATGCCAATATTATTCCCAATTTGGTTTTACAAATTATTCAATTTCTTCTTTAATAGGATTAAATATCACTATGGTCCTTCTAGTGTTATTAAGATCCCGTTTGGTATGAAGCATTGAAAATTAGAGATAAGAATTATGATTGAAATTGAGAAAATATATTAAAAGAGTGTTTAGCATAAAAGATTGTTTGTTATATGTGATTAGTCTAACTCATGTGTATGGGATTGGAGAATACCACCCCTCATGATATTCCCTAATCCCATCTCTATAGGTTTGTCTAATTCTATATAACAAGCAATTATTTATGTTAAATACTATTTTAATAATTTTTTTTTCAATTGCAATCCTAATCCCCATCTCTTATTTTCAGTGTTTTGTACCAAACGAGACCTAAAAGTTCAATTTGGTCCCTCCAATTGAGAAGTAGGTGATGTTGCACTCCTATTTGTTGCAGCTGAGAAGCGAAACAGGGGAGGAAGGGAGGAAAAAAAAGGGACGAAACTTTAGAGGGAGGTCAATTTTACCCCCATACCAACTTTTTATGTCCACATCCGATATTTAATGTCGAACCTAACAATTTATGAGCACACGCGAAATCTACAATTTTTCATAAGTGATGTAATGGTTATGGTGGTATTGGTGTGAAATTTTTATATATACGATTGACTATGTAACTGGATGCAACAAGTTTAAGAACATAATGCTTGTCCAATTGTAGGTTTTGATGGGGTTGAGATTCATGGTGCCTATGGTTATCTTCTTGACCAGTTTATGAAAGATCAGGTTAATGATCGAACTGATGAATATGGCGGATCACTAGAGAACCGTTGTCGATTTCCCTTGGAGGTTGTTAAAGCTGTGTCAGATGAGATAGGACCTGAGCGAGTTGGAATTAGATTATCACCTTTTGCCGATTATTATGAATGTCGAGACTCCAATCCTGAAGAACTTGGCCTATACATGGCAAATGCTCTGAACAAATATGATATTCTGTATTGCCACATGGTAGAGCCAAGGATGAACACTGTTGGAGAAAAGATTGAGAGCCCTCATAGTCTTGTGCCAATGAGAAAGGCTTTCAATGGCACGTTCATCGTTGCTGGAGGCTACGACCGCAAAGAGGGCAACAATGCAGTAGCTGAGAACCGGGCAGATCTTGTCGCATATGGTCGCTGGTTCTTGTCCAATCCTGATTTACCCAAGAGATTTGAGCTTGATGCTCCCCTCAACAAGTACAACAGTGACACATTTTATATTCCTGATCCAGTTGTTGGATATACAGACTACCCATTTCTTGATGGAAGTTCTCAAGTCTAATTGCCGAAGGGTGTGTTTTCTATCCCTGCTATTCTTTGCTGCTTTGTACTTGAACATTCCAATTTCAGTAGTGACTGTTCGTATGTCAACAAAATTCATTAGGCAACTGTTATGTACTTGTTTGTGCCCTGTTATTTCTATGGTTTATAGCCACCAATGGATAACAAAATTTCTGTAACTGGTGATGGATTCTTAAAGATTCCATAGTTTGGCTTCCACTTTTAGCTATGGAGTTTTGCCCGTACAGGTTGTTGTCTCTCTACTATACTATTTTAATTTATTATCGTTTGTTATTGGACGTTTACTCTACATTTTAGGACATTATAATTCAGATACTGTATCTAATTCACCTTTTTTTAATTAAAAAAATAAACAATGCAATGGCAAATTGAGCTCAAAAATCATAGGTTAACATTTTTTGTTATGAATCATGGGTTTGAGGCCTGACTGAGATACACACATCTTCTTCTTTTTCTTCTCCTCCTCCTCCTTTTATTTTCTCCTTTAAATTTCTTGTTTGCTTGCGCGTATGCGTGAGAAGACTAAATTAAACACTGAAATCAAATGAAATTACGAAAGACTTAGCTCTATGGAAATTCACAAGAATAGTTGAGATCCATTAGTCATAACCTCATAAAACTGTCTCTTATTTTAGATGATACGGTTTGTATGAACTGCGCAGTTAAGGGGAGTATGGCTGAAAGATACTTTGACTTCAATATTATTATTATTGAAGGGTAAGATGATCTGCAAATTTGGTTTCTTTTGGTCTGAAATCTTTTTTTTTTTTGCACTGAGAAAAGTGATTGACAAAAGGGAAGACGCACAAAATGTTTTTAAGTGCCTCTCATTTTTTTTCCTTCTAGATCATTGAGGGCGAAAAAGTAATTGCAGCTTTGCATCCTCCGACAATAGGATTCTGCAAGACTTATAATTTATTTGCAACTTAACTGGGATCTTTCATCAGTTATTTATTTATTTTTGGAATTTCATTACATCAACTATCAATCAACTAATATATTAGAAATCTTGTAATACCCAGATATTTAGTCGGGTCATGTCGGATCTCACAATCAATGCATTTTGCTTGGTGTATTATTAATAAAATCATATTACAATTCAAAATATATTTATTCTAAAAGAGCGTGTTATTTAAATGCATTAATGAAAAATTATTAATTAGAGAATTAACCAATCAAATTCAAAATAATAGAATGATTATGTTTCAAATGGATTTCCAAATTTATTGATTGGGATATTAATACAATAATATCTTTTATGGCATATATTAATTATATTAGATTGAAAATGGATTTTCAAAATTATATTAGTTGTAATAATAACATTCAAAATAACATTTGAAAAATAACACGTTCTTTCAAAAAAATTATATTTTGTCGATAATAAGAACAGTTTGATTATAAATTAATTCAATAAGGAATGATGGCACCCGTCCTAATGATTGACTTGAATTAAACGATGATTTCAATGTCCATCCAAAAATATTTAATTATATGAGATTTGTGCATATTAAATTAAATAAGGTGCATTATAATTATAATTAAATGAGAATTCAATTGGACAATCAAATAGAGAAATTAGAATCCCCATTTCCATTCAAACCGTATGGATTAGAGAACATTACAGAAAATTTTAAATTAAAATTAAGGTAATGAAGTAAATTGATTCTCATATGATTTTCAAATAAATTTCTCTAATTAACCCATTGATCCCTTTGGCATGCATGATATTAATTACGTCATCTTTTTGACCAATTAATTTCCATTGTGAAGACTATAACATGATAAAAAGGGCAATGCTCCCCACCATTTCTTTCATGTTATTTACAACGCTCCCCATAATTAACCCATTCTTTTCACATTATTTGCTGACATTTCTCTCAATTAACCTGTTCTCACACAGCTTCATAATTCGATCTCAAAGCAAATGGTGAACTTCCCTCACGAGTAGATTGTAGCAAAGAAACATGGTGCATTATTGTTGAAGTGCTAAGAAAGTGGACAGTAGCTAAGAAGTCCCCACCCTTTGATGTCTGGAAAGTTAGTATGATTTTGTCTAACGAAAAGGTTAGTAAGTAATAATATTGTTTTGTTCATTGAAAAAAAATATCTGCAGTGAACTCATTTCATTGTATTCTATGCAACCAGGGTGATAGGATTGAAGCTTCAGTTGCTCATAAAGGACATATACAAAGATATGTCAAAGATTTAGTAGAGGGTGGGGTTTATCAATTTGAGAACTTTGAAGTCGTGGACAATGATGACGACAATTACAAAACTTGTGACCATCCTTGCAAAATTATGTTCCATCCAATGACATTTTTTCAAGAGCATGATTTGCCAATCCCCCTGTATGCATTTAACTTTGTCCAATCAAGGATATTGCCAACAACAATGCCAAAAACAATGAATTGGTTGGTTGGCATTCCTTTCCTATATTGTTTTCGTTGATTGTATCTAATGCATGTTCATGTTTTGAGTGATATTATATCTATTTCAATTTCTTCTTACCGATTCAACAAGTTCACACAAATATTATTGGATTTCTACAAGCATTTGGGAACTTGGTTGGTCATAAAAATGATTCTGGAATAACGAAGAAATTGGCTCTCACCATTGCTGATCAAAAGTAACATACTTCTTTTTCTTATCTAGGACCTCCAACAAGTGAGGATAAAAATAGATGATTGGACGTCAATTTGACATATTCTTATCTTATTATCGTTTATTTGCAGTGAAATCCAGGTAAATGTATCTCTTTTTGGGAAGGTCGCAAAAAAGGCGTTTGAGGCCAGAACAGATGATTTAGAAGTCCCCACCATAGTTGTCATACGGTTTGCTAAGATTGCAAAGAAAAAAAGTATTTGTATATTGTTAGCAGTATCTCATTGATTCATGTTTTTTTTTTATGAGACTTGCGCTTCAATATCAATTTTGGTTCAAGGTTATGGACACATATCTAATGCCTTTTATGTGACAAGAGTTTATTTCAATCCAAATTTTCCAAAGGTCAGGAGTTTCATTGACAAGTAAAAACTTATCATTGTTTTATATTAATCAAGCATTTGTCTTGTAAGTGTGTGTGTGTGTATCATGGTGTTCCCAAACTTAAATCTCAGCTTCCCTTCATAGCCTCAATGTTATGCCTGGAGCAAGTCAGGCTTTCTCACAGATCTCCTCTACTGTATTGCTCGAGATTACCAGTGACTCTCTCTTAACTTTCCCTACTAGAATTCCATTGGGTGAAATTTCCAAATTAACAGAGGCCAGTATTTTCATTTCATCAGCTTTTTGTCGTGGTAATTACTTTTTAAATGTTTGAATGTCTGAATTAGTAACCTTTATTTCCATGTAATTTATTAGGCATCAGAAGTTGTTACCAAAGTAATTGAAACATCCTTACTTTAACCCCTCAGAGTATGCATTTAGAAGCGTTACGGTTCAAGCAATTCACAAAATAAGCCCGTAGATTGAGCTTTGTGATTGGTTCTCGGGTTACTGTTCACTGGCTAAATTCCAGATTTTTCAGTTCAACTTTGAGCAATCATAACTCTTAGCACACATATCCGTTTTAAGTGATCTACCACTTGTTTTAAAGCTCAGGGTGTGTACTTTAATCATGCCAAATTCATGAGCAGAGTCAATCATTTGCCATACTTCTACTCTGTCACTATTTTGTTGCTCAATTAGGGATAGCTTATCCTTTAACTTGCACTAATAGTTTATGATTAAAACTTTCCATACATAATACCATTCCATTCATGCACTAACAATTCTCATACGTTATCATAGCTAATTACATAAGCCAACATCATCATTTATCATCACATACCATCAATGGCACATTTACAACATACATCGGTATATACGGTGCACAACGTAATACAACAAATTTCCCTAAATCTTTTCTTCTTTCCTGGCTTCCACTTCATGTATCCTTCACTTGATCATATCACCTATTATGGTTGGTTAAGGGTGGGTGAGATTCACGAGAATCTCAGTAGCAAACAATAACCACCCAAACATACATGGCAAGCTTGGCATTTATAACATGCTTACAACTTAACATCTTTATAACATAATGACATGTTTGGCAATCATCATGTATTTATCATAAAACACATAGACCTATGGCATATTTCAAACACATTCACAATCACAACACACATGAGTCCATAAAATCATATAACATGGAAACATGTCATACATGCAAGCAAATACCAAGCACATAAGAGTAAGGTCAAGTTTGCTACCTTGTGTCTTTAAGCTTTCTTCTTACTCCTTTTTTGCTTCCAACCATTAAGGTTGCTTACTCAACCATATCCAAACCTTCTCTTAGATGCCTCAAGGTCCTAATTACAACTACAAGGGTCACATTACTCATTAGGACCAAGAATTACACAATATAGAAGACTTATGTTCTTAAATTTAATCCCTTTTTCCTTAATTTATAATGTAGTGTTCTAGCTTTGTAAAAATTGTTCCCTTGGGCCACTCCTACACAATTTTGTCCAAGGAATCTAAATATGAGCTTAAATTCATCAAAATCCAATTCCTTTCCTTGGTTCTAGGCCAAAACCGAAATCTACCACTTAATTTTCAGTTTTGATTCCCATGCTTCCAACTTCCTTCTTTCATCTTATCCCTACAAAATTTTTTATTTTAAACACATTGGAAGCATCAAAATCATCAAAATCACATTCTAGGCACAAGAACCAAGTCTGACTGAAACATTTCCTCAAGTTACACAATCATGAAATTCAATCAATTTCAGCATAAAACCACTTGATTCGTGTTTCTTTCAAGCCGTTGAACATTAATCTAACATCAATTTCATCTCCCCTCACACTTAAAAATTTCGTGCAGCACCTTCCCCAAGGGTTTCAAGCTCCCAAAAATCATTAAAATCCATAACTAAGCTCAACAGCAACAAGAGTAGTGAAAACTACATCAAAAACCATGAACATACCTTGTCTTAGAGCTTGATCTTGCACGAGACCACTTGGCCTTTCTTTCTCCCTCTTCTTTCTCTCTCTAGAAACCATTTTTCCAAATCTTCCCCAAGGTTTCCATGAGCTTGGACGAAATGAGGGGTGGGGAGGAGGTATTTATAGAAAATAAAACTGAATCTGGGCCGTTGATTTTAAAAATGTGTGGCTTGATCTGGACCATCCATTTTCTCTTTTAATCTTATGGTGACAAGTTTCCTATGACATCATGCTTACCTCATCATGATGACATCATGCTTACATCATTAATCCATATGCTTTTAATCCAACCGTACATGTGTCTTGCATCCGACCGTACATGTGTCTTGCATCCACCTGTACACATAATACCTTCTTTTCCCATCACACCGTACACTTGTCTCTTCCATTTTCCTTCATTATTAAGGCATTAAAATAGGGAGGAAATTAATATAAAATTCGTGCAAAATACAACCCTTAGACATTCCTCCACCTATCTTGCCATTCTATACCATGTAGGGTACTTTTTGGGGTCCTAACTTTCCTGGGACCACTAGGACATGTTGTGACACTATTTTCTCTCCTCAAATAAATCCACATGACATTATATAACATGCCCAAAGAGAGAGGGATGCTCTTCCCTTATTTTTCCATTAAAATAATTAGTAATATTTATTTCGGAGTGAACTTGACCGAATTCTTTCTACCAGTCTAAGATTCCGAGAATCTGTCTCTAGGTACCAATACTATTTATTCATCACAGGGAATTCCTCTAATTCTTCTTAAGTCAAAAGTCAATCTCTAGACATTTGACTTTAACTTTCTTCGATAATATGTTAATAGGTTTTAAATTCCATTAAAGCCAATCTTTTCACTTTTTGGGGATGGGATTATTTTTAAAACCTGTAATAATTCCTTAAGTATTTTCTCCCATTTTCTTCCAATTATCTAAGGCCTCTGTATACTTTAAATAATTCATTTTTAATAATATTCAAAATCAGTTAAAACCTTGGGGATTCCATAATTTCCATCCAGGGGCCTTTTCGTCAGCTTTAGCCTCATACAGGCCTTTGAACCTTATTCCCATTTTTATAAAATTTTTTTGAAGTATTTGGGCCTTAACCTATCATTTCCCATTTTTTGGGATTTTTCTGAGATTTTCGGGCATAATTTCCATTTTTACCCTTACTAGCCCAAAACTTTGTGAAATTATAGTTTTGCCCCTGGTTGGCTTAACCTCAAAATTCACCCCATTGAGGCTTCCAACATAACTATTGATCTACATTTATCTCTATTTCTTAATCTTGGGCCTCGAGACTTCTTCTGAGTCTCTAACTTTCTCTTTTCTCAGTCCCAGAAAACTTTCCTTTTGCGATTCAGTCTCTAGGAATCCCTTTGTCCTTCCAGGGAATCTCTGGGACTTCTGCCAAAAGGGTTCTGGTAGTCTACCCAATTCAGACTAATTTTAGTACTTCTAAGTCTAAAATTCGGGATGTTATAGTAACCATCTAAAAAGTTGAGACATCTTATGGTTGGTACTATAATGGATGTCCATGCGATAAAAAACCAGTATATGAGGGTGATAAGTTGAAATGTAATTCTTGTCATAGGGAAGTGCTAATGACCGAACCCAAGTTTTAACTAATGTCAACATTCTTTAACTATGAGTTTTCATAACACTTCATGTTAACAGTTGAACCTTTGTTTTGAAAAGATTCAAGCTTCATTACACAATTTTTGATTCTACTGCAAAGTGTTCCATACTGTTCTTTAAACGTCATGCATCTGAACTCGTACATTGTTCAGCAGTTGATCTTAGGAAGGCAGTAGTCAAGGTTTGCAATTATATATATAATAAGATATACTTCTTGTAGGCTGTTGTTTGTTGTTATATTTGTTTCAAAATATGTCTTGTAATTTTAGAAAGGAGCACCTCATTCTTTCTCAAAAGAGTTAAATCAAGTTGTTGGAACGGAAATTGTTGTTATGCTTAAAGTCAAGGAACACAACTTGAAATACCCTATGAGTAGTATGAGTGTCTCCCTTTTCTCTATAGAGAAAGATATCCTTGAAAAGTTCACATATCTGACCCAGATACCCATGAGAACGTAGGCAACATACCAACTCTGTCCGATTTACACATGATATTACCCTATCTCATCGTATATAGTGACATTAAAATTTTTAGTCTATTAACCTTAATGTTCTTTGATTATATTTCATAGAGTTCACTATTGGAGTCATCTGCATCAGGGTCATGTGAAAAAATGACGAGCAATGATGGATTTGTCGAAAATGATGATATTAGCACATCTCAGTTGATGACTCCTACAACAAATTTGACAAAGTGGTAGAAAATTGAAAGGAGTGCACCCATCGAAATTGAAGATATTGGCATATTAGAACTATCAACACCAAGCTTTAGCACTACAAAACCAGTTAAGAAGATCAAGAAGGAAAAATAAGTAGTTACCATTTAGGAATTCCCTATGAAGATCATCGTTTCTATTATTTTTCGTTATTTTACTTATTTTGCTAGGTTGGGCATGAACTGCTTTTTATGACTGTCATAGTTGTAGTGTAACGGTGCTGTTTTTCAAAATATACTCGAACCTTCATTGTCATCTTAACTTCTTGTGTCTTATTTACATTCATGTTGTTTATTATTTGCACGAATGATCAACAAATCATTACGAACCAACTAACTGGGCAAACTCAAAATAGTTTGGCTCAATATAGTTTTTTTAATAAAGGCATATTTAACTATTTTATGTTAAATTACTTTTAACCTACTGTAATTTATGGACATATCATGTTTTTAACAAAATTATGGTTATAAATTATAATAACATATTTAAAAATTTAAATTTTAAATTACATTTAAATGCTTTAAAAAACATTTTTAAAATTTAAAACCCAATAAATATGTAGAATCACCACTTCTTTTATTTTATATTGATATTGATGATATGGTGCACGTTGATAGCTTCTTATTTTACATTTTTTTATTTTAATATCCTTTCCATAAAATCAATTAGAGTTAAATTCAATTATTTTTTTAATACTCAACAAAAGAATCTTGTGATATTATTTACTTTCTATTTGGATATATGGATTTATGTTGATTTGATCATAGTCCCTAAATATTAAAATGTCAGCGTACACTTTCATTAATTAATACAGTTTTGTTGGGATTTTCTTCAATTTACATTACTACAAAAGCTAAGCAACATATTCCAGATTCTTCGCTCACTGAATTAGGGCATTTAAACATAAAATTTATTACATATAGAATTAAAAGATGATTTCAATTCAATGTCTATTATGGTATCCAAAAATATTCAGTTATATGGGATTTGTACATATTAAATTATTAAATTAAATTAAACTAAATGCGGTGCATTATAATTAAATCAGAATTCAATTGGAAGTTCAAACAGAGGAATTTTTTAATTAAAATTCGCATCTCCATTTGAAATTGTATAGGTTAATTGAATGACAGAGGAAATCAAGAATTTGCATCCCCATTTCAAATGTTATAGGTTAATTAAATGACAAAAAAAAAATCAAGGAAACCTTGCAAATTGTCTTATGATTTTCACATGATCTTCTGCACAATTTTATTAATTAATGTAATTTTGTTGGGATTTCCTTCCATTAACATCCTAAAATTAACATTACTAAAATAATTAATCAATATAGGGTTAAAGATCATTCATTTTGGATTCCACGTAAAATTGATTCCATACATAATCAAAAGATGATTTCAATATCCATTATGGGATCCAAAAATATTCAGTCATATGGGATTTGAACATATTAAATTAAATGCGTTGCATCATAATTAAATGAAAATTCAATTAGAGACTCAAATAGAAAAATTTATTAATTAAAATTTGCATCTCCATTCAAACTGTCTAGGTTAATTGAATGATAGAGAAAATCAAGGAAACCTTACAAATTGTCTTAGGATTTTCATCCAGTCTTCCCAACAATTTTATTAATTAATACGGTTTTGTTAATATTTTCTTCCATTAATATTACTAAAATTACCATTACTAGAATAATTTTTTTTTGAGCTGAAACCGTTACTAGAATAATTAAGCAATATAAGGTTAAAGGGCATTCATTTTGGATTCTTTACCCAGCGAATTATTTTTGAACATCTAAAAATGGACAATTTACTGCGAATAGAAATAATTCAATTCAATTAAATGATATGAATTAAATGTGGAGCATCCTAATCAAAGGGGGATTCAATTGGAGGCTCCAATGGAAAAATTTATTAATTAAAATCCCCATTTCAAATTGTATGGATTAATTGAATGATAGAGAAAATTAAGGAATTAGGGCATCTGAAAATGAAAGATTTGTTTCGCGTAGAATTAAAAGATGATTTCATATTTAGTTATATGGGATTTGTACATATTAAATTAAATACAGATTTAGGTTATATGTTTTTATCAAAATGGCTTTATCATAATATAATGATATATGTAATAAATTATTGAAAGAAATCATAATTATGATTATAAGTTATAATGATATATGCAACAATTTAAATTACATTTAAATTCTTTAAAAACATCTTTGAAATTTAAAACCCAATTAAATATGAAGAATCAATTCTCCTTTTGTTTTGTATTGATATTGTTGATATGGTGCGCTTTGATAACTTTTTATTTGACATTTTTAACATTCTTTTCATAAAATCAATTAGAGTTATATTCAAAAGAATATTGCGATATTATTTACTTTTTATTTGTATACATGGATTTATGCTGGTGTAATCGTATTCCCTAAATGTTAAAATGTTAGCATACACTTTTATTAATTAATACAGTTTTGTTGAGATTTTCTTCCATTTACATTTCTAAAAATATTAATATAGTTTTCTTAAGATTTCCGTCCATCAACATTACTAAAATCACCACAATGAATTAATTATGGTTAATCAAACAATTTTATTTGAACATAATGATTTAAACCTATTCAAATGAGAATTCAATTGGAGGCTCTGATGGAAAAATTTATTAATTAAAATCCCCGTCCCCATTTCAAATTATATGGATTGATTGAATTGAATGATAAAGAAAATCAAAGATTTAGGGCATCTAAAATCGTAAATTTTATTGCATGTAGAATTAAATGATGATTTCAATGTCCATCCCAAAAATATTCAATTATATGAGATTTGTACATATTAAATTAATTAAATTAAATAAGGTGCATTATATTATAATTAAATGAGAATTCAATTGGACAATCAAATAGAGAAATTAAAATCCCCATTTCCACTTAAACTGTAAGGATTAATTGATTGGTAGAGAACATTAAGAAAACTTTTAAATTAAAATCAAGGTAAGGAAGTAAATTGATTCTCATATGATTTTCAAATAAATTTCTCTGATTAACCCATTGATCCCTTTGGCGTGCATGATATTAATTACGTCATCCTTTTGACCAATTAATTTTCACTGTGAAAACTATAACATGATAAAAAAGGCAATGCTCCTCACCTTCATAATTTAATCATGGAAAACGGATATTCATCTTCATAGTAAAACATCGGATATATAATAATTACATTTTATTGATTTATTGATTTCACATAATTATGTCTATATTTAAGGTGCGATTTCATCCATATTTATCCAGTTGTGAGGTCTTCTTATTATACTAAACCAAATCAAATTGAAATAGTCTCTCCATCTGCTGAAACTATAACACACTTTGACATACAGTATTCATGGGAAGGTCTAAGAAGAACGTTGATTACACGACACAATCTTGCCCTACAGGTTAGATTATCTATTCATTTTTAGGGCATCTATACCACATCATTTCCAATTCATTACACAATAGTGTTGTTGCTCATAATGTAATTACCATACTCATTAGTTGCGTTATATTTTCTTGGATGTGCTCGCCTTCAATATTTACAGGGGGAATTAGTCGTGTAGAATGCTCTGACAACAATCAAATTATGCATAATAAGAGAAAGAGATCTAGACGCTTAGCAACTATAGAGGGGACATTAGAATTTACACATGGTGGTAGACCAAATCTCAATATAGACGTATACAACCAACTTGACATTACTCAGATGGAACAATCTACTCCTCTTGCAAGTAACTCCATATATATGATGCCTACTTATCAACCATTGTCTTCAACTCAACATCCAAAAAGTTCAACTTCGGCCACACCAATTTTGGAGAGGATTCCATTAAAAGATATAACTAATTTCATAGTGATAAGTGATTCACAATGTCAGGGTAATTAGGATGACATAACACATGAAAACCGTACTCAACCTACAAATCCATCCAATCTGAGGTTAAAAAGTGGTAACAAAGTAGGTGTCAATTGTTCTCGACTTCAAAACATTACCAAATTAGCAACTAATCTTTTGTCCGTGCTTGATAATGTTGCTGCATCAGGTTATAACTATAATCTCATATATATAATTATCTATGTATATGTTTGTGTATGTATATCTTTTTCGCATTAAGATATTCTATTACTAGGTTTCATTTTTAAAATATTTGCAGATGATGATGAAGATGTCTCTAATTGTAGTGACATTGATGTTTTCGACATAAATGACTATGATGAGCTTGATATATCTACAAAAAGCTATCTTGATGAAGGAGATCCAGTTTATGCATGTCAATATTGTGGTGCTTTGATGTGGTTTATTGAAAGGCTTAAGAGAGCTCCTGCCAATGAATATCCATTGTTCTCAATTTGTTGCTGCCATGAAAAAATTTTGGTGCCTCTTATGCAACCTCCACCAGAAATGTTTCGTCGACTTTTCTTCCATAAGAAAAGCCCACAGTGAAAGCATTTAACGCTTTAGCTAGTACATGGAAGTGCATACCATGATTTTAATTGGAACATGATTATAGACAAACTCCTTCAATTTATAAGATATTTTTTTAGCATTCTAATTTTACAATTTGACAAAGATTTTTGCTCCATTATTAGTGTGCGTAGTATTAAAATTAATTTTTTATATAATTTTTAAGCCGTTGCTTTTTATCTACATATTAGTTTAGACACATAATTAATATTATTTTTTTGAAAATCCAATCTTTGAATGTTCTGATTGCTATTCAATTAGTGAATTTATTAATTGAGTTAACTGATGCATATGACATGCTTTAGTGTGGTACCACATTGTTCCATACTTTAATTCTTTTTTTAGGGAGGAAATTTGCAATTAAAAACCTTAAATATATGTTTTTAAACAAAATTAATTTCCTTCACTTGTGGTTAATAAATTGTACGAAAATTTAAACACTTTCATAGATATTATGCAATCAATACCTTTGTGTGGTGCATATATACACATTCTGATGTTTTATTCTATGCAAAAATTTATATAATTATTTCACTATAATGATATATGTCATAACTTAAAGATTTTTAAATAAATTCAATTTTAAACAAATTCAATTATTTGGAAATTTAAAATCCAATTGAATTATCTTTTTGTTTTATATTGATCTTTTATTTATATAAGTGTGATATCGTTCATCTATTAAAATAATAGTTTCAAAGATATTAAACTAAGTATTTAGCACAAATTTATTAATTTATTTTAGTGGATTTTTATATTACATAGAATGTGATACTAACCTTCGTCCCTTATTATCTCCTTAAACATTGTTCACATGTTATAAAATAAAATTTTGAAATGTGATTTTTACAAATTTATAAATTATTTGTATATGTATTCTTACTAAATATGTATCTCTTATGTGCAGCAAGCATTGTGATAGATCTACAATTGATAAAGGAATCACACAAGAAATAAAAGACTGTCTTGACAAACACAACGCTCTTGTGATCAATCATAGGGTGGCATATGAAATTCTCAAGTGTGACCGGCATGCTAATGTTAGCATTCGTCTAATTAGGAATACGGATCATGAAAGTAGGAACTATGATATGCCAATAGCATCTGAGGTTGCTGCCTTACTGGTCAGAGACTTTGATAGATCATATTTCAAAAGAGACATAATCGTTGAGAAAAGAGCCAAAGCGTTGAAGAGAATTGATGAACTGCACAAAGCATACCTTCCTCTACAGTATCCTATTATTTTCCACTATGGAAATAATGGTTATGATTCAACCATCCAACATAATGAAAATAGCCTTCAGCGTACTAAGAAAAAAAAGACTTTTACTCCGCGAGAATATTTGTCTTTTAGGTTGATGGATAGAAATAATGAGCAATCTATTCTACTTCACTCTAAAAGATTACTTCAACAATTCATTGTTGATGGATTTTCAATGGTAGAAAGTGATAGACTTAATTACATTCGTAGTCATCAAAAAGAACTACGAGTTGACATGTATAAAGGTCTCACGGATGCATTGATTAGGGGTGAGACAGATCCTTCTCGCACAGGAAAAAAGATCATACTTCCATCCTCATTTACTAGAGGTGCTAGATATATGATACAAAACTTTCAAGATGCAATGGCAATATGTAGATCCATAGGTTATCCTGGCCTATTTTTAACTTTCAAATGCAATCCAGCATGGTCGGAAGTGAAGAGATTCTGCAAAAAAAATAAAAATAAATTGAATCCTGTTGATAGACCAGATATATTATGCAGAATTTTCAAGTTGAAGCTAGAGGCACTGATGAAAACTATCAAGGAATAAGAAATTTTTGGAAAAGTAAAAGCAGGTAACACCAAAATGCATTACCATTTAGTAGGGAGTATAAAATATAATTTACTATTTATCAACTATATTTAATCATTTTATTATATACCAACATTTCAATTATTGGGTTTTATATATTAACAATAATTAATAATGATAATAATAAGTATGTCTGTTTCATAAGCTTGCATATTTCATTACTTATAAGGATTACATTATATACATTATTCACATTTGTGCAAACTTGAATTGTACTATGACTAGAATGTATTTAAATGGGCATGTTATTATGATGGTATAGAAGAAATTGTAACATTAAATAATATTTTTTCATTGTTGCAGAAATTTATACAATTGAGTTTCAGAAGAGGGGTCTACCACATGCTCACATTATTCTATTTTGGATCCTTTAGACAAACCAACCACTCCTGATGATGTGGATAGAATTATTTGTGCAGAAATACCAAACAAAGAGAGAGATCAATGCTATATGATCTTGTCAGTAACTACATGATTCATGGACCATGTGGGCCTTTCAATAAGAAATCTCCTTGCATGAAAGATGGAAAATGTTCTAAGTACTTTCCCAAGAAATTTGTCAATCATACCACAGTAGATAAAGAGGGTTACCCTACATATAGGAGAAGGAATGATGGTAGGAGCATCGATAAGAAGGGTGTACCACTAGACAATAGATATGTCATTCCTTATAATGCGACTTTGTTAAGACTATTCCATGCTCGCCTTAATGTTGAGAAAACAAACCAATCAAGTGCCATAAAATATTTGTTTAAGAATGTCAGCAAAAGAAGTGATCGAGTCATTGCTAGTATCTACAACAATGATCAGTCAAATAATGGAGACAATGGTTTTAACGAGATCTCTCATTACTTGAATTGCAGATATGTTTCTTCTTGTGAAGGTGCATGGCATATTTTGTCATTTGATATCCATCATAGATACCCTTCTGTTGAGCGGTTGAGTTTTCATTTACTAGATCAACAAGCAGTTTTTTATACAAGTAAAGATTCAGTTACCTTATTGGTTCACAAACAAAGAGTTAAAGAATCAATGTTTCTTGCATGGATGGAGCAGAATCTAGAAGATACATTTGCAAGGAAACTAACATATATTGAGTTTCCCCATTATTATACATTTAATAAGCAAAAGAAGATTTGGAAACTTAGAGAAAGGGGCTTTGCTGTTGGACGATTGGCACATGCATCACCTGCTCAAGGCGAAATATATTATCTTAGAATACTATTAACAAAAGTAAAGGGACCTACCAGTTATGAACAGATAAGAACTGTAGATAATGTTGTTTACCCAACTTTTAGGTCTGCTTGCTATGCCCTCGGATTGATTGACAATGATCAAGAGTTCGTTGATGCAATAAAAGAGGCATCATTGTGGGCTATAGGATGTTATCTTAGAAGATCCTTTATGTCAATGCTACTAAGTCATTGCATATCACAACCACACATCGTGTGGGAGCAGACTAAAAATCTCTTATGTGAAGACATGTTGCATGTACCACGAAATAATCCACGATGTCAAGGGAAATTCAACTATGCAATTACTTTTCATGCAATTGACATGAATATAGTGTTTGCTTTGTCTTTTTATAATTTATAACATTATTGTTGTTCCCATAAAACAAATTTAAATATTAGTGATGATGACAAGCATGAAGCAGGCTTAATTGAGATAGAGAAGCTACTACAAATGAATGGAAAGTCTCTTCATGATTACCCATTAATGCCACTTGCAATAGCTACTGAGTATTTTGATACCAAAAATTATTTTATATTGCAAGAATTAAATTTTGACAGAGAAACATGTCAGAGAGAAGCGATTAGGTTGCTAGAATCACTAATAGATGAGCAGAAGAACATATTCAACCAAGTAATGAAAGCAACAAACCATCCTACTGAAGGGTTCTTCTTTGTGTTTGGTTTTAGAGGTACTGGAAAAACTTTCTTATGGAATGCACTAATAGCATCGATTAGAGCATGAGGAGGAGTAGTGATTAATATGGCTTCAAGTGGAATAGCTACAACTTTACTACCTTTAGGCAGAATTGCACATTCAAGGTTTGTAATTCCAATTGATATTAATGAAGATTCCATGTGCAACATATCCCAAAGTTCACCATTGAGTGAGCTTATCAGGTGTGCCAAATTGATTATTTGGGATGAAGCCCCAATGGTGAAACCTTTTTGTGCAAAAGCTGTTGATAGGACATTCAGAGATATAATGAAGTGTAATCGTCCCTTTGGAGGCAAATGTATTGTCATGGGAAGAGATTTCAAACAAATATTGCCTGTCATCCCAAAAGGTAGTCGTGCAGATGTTGTCAACTCAAGCATCAACTCTTCTTATCTATGGAGTCATTGCAAGTTATTCCAACTTACCAATAATATGTGATTATCTTCGAGTTCATTCACAGATAATTCAAAATTGAAATTATTTTTAGACTGGCTTTTGGATATTGGTGATGGTTGTATTGGTTTACCTCATGATAGAATGACAGAGATAGAAGTCCCTGATGATTTTTTAATTATGGACTGTCATGATCCTCTGCAGTCGATTGTCAAAGCCACATATCCTGATCTCTTACATCATTTAGCTAATTCCGAATATCTCACTAATAGGGCTATTTTGACACCGACAGTTGAAGTGGTTGACCAAATTAATGACTATGTGTGCTCCTTACTGCCTGGCGAGCCTATTGAATATTTTAGCTCTGATTCTGTGAGTACAGCTGATCAAGGTTGTACATCATTTCAAGAGTTGTATACTATCGAATTCTTGAACACAATAAAATGCTCTGGCTTGCCTCCACATAGACTTGTAGTGAAAATTGAAGTTCCCATAATGCTGGTGAGAAACATAGATCAAGCTGCAGAACTCTGTAATGGCACAAGACTAAAGATCACATTTCTTGGTAAATAGTTTATTAAAGCAATAGCTCTTAATGGTACAAGCTGAAACATTCTACCTTTAGCCCCTCAGAGTACATGTTTGAAAGTGTTATGGTTCAAGCGGATCACGACACAAGCCCGTGGATTAAAAATTTCAACATAATTACTCGGGTTACTATTCACTGTTTAAATTTCAGATTACAAGTCCAACTTTGAAAAATCATAACTAATACTATAAAAATCTTATTGAGGTGTTCTAAAATTATATGGAAAGCTCTTTGAAATCTCTTTAAGAGAAAAATATCCAATTGGACTTATCCTTACCCAATTCGTACAGTTTAATCAATAAATATTACTTTTCATTTGGTAAAATCTAGAACTTTGAGATTCTGTGCCTCAACTTTGAAAATTCGTATCTCCTTGTATACACGTCCAATTGAGGCGATATACCTCTCATTTTAAATCTTGGGATGTGTACTATAAGTATGCCAAATCTTGTGGCTAAACTCATTTATTTGCTAGGTCAAACTGGAGCTACAAACTCACTACCCCAGGACCTACATTTTGCCCCTTAACTACTCTTTACTTTAATTCTTTTTATTTCTTTGACATACATAACTTGGGATTACTCTTTCCCATTCATTCTCATATATTCCTATTCATGTCATAAATATTATAATTAAATACATGGCATCATTGGCATCCATAACATAGTTTACAAAATAGGAGAATTATACATTCATCAACAGTCTCATCCATTAACAAGAATAATTCTCCGCTTACTTCTTCTTACTTCTCATGCCATTATTGCCCATCGTTAATTGACCTAAATGGTTAGTTAGGGAGGGGTGAGATTCGGGAGAATCTCAGTAGCAAAAAATGCCATATTAGTCATGCTAGATGGATGCTAATGCATTACACGTAACTTGTTTATTCTCTTGTTAATTAGTGACATATTAGCATACTCAAAGCTAGCTTCTTGATGTATGGCCATAGAGACATAATCTACTCATCATAAATAGCAATTACAGCAGCTAAAACATATCACAATAACATTCAATAACATGTACACGGCAACACACAAGCATACAATATCAAGCAATGACAATAGGTAAGTTCACTACCTTGCACCTCAAGCTTTCCTCTTACTTTTCCTTTGACTTCCTTGACATTCCAACCATGTGGGCATTCGGTCAACATTACCAAACATCCTCTTGGGTGTTCCAAGGTCCTAAACATAGTCATAATGATCATACAATCTATTAGGACCACTAGATTACATAATGTTCAAGACTAGCTCTCTTGAACCTCAACCCTTCCTCTTGGTTTTAGAGTTTTCTTTCTAGCTTTTCTAACATAAATCTCATCATTTCTCATCCTTAAGATCCATTTCTTGTCAATTAGGACCACTTTAGATGGCCTTAGATTCAAGAAGTTCAAATATGAAAATTTTGCTTCGCGGGTACTGTTCACGTAGGAATTCTAGAATTTTTGCTCAACTTTGAAAATTCATAATTAATTCTAGAAAAATAAAAATTGAGTGATTCCAAGTCTCACTAAAATCTCCTTAAGTTCTCTTTAGAAGAAAAATAGTTTCAGGAGCCAATTCTATGATGAACAGTATCGAACTTGTACGGAAATTGACACTCTTCCAAAGGTTAAACACTGTTTCTAGATTTCAAATCCTAACTTTGAAAAATCATCATAAATCGTACACATATCCAAATGAAGTGTTCTATCCATGGATTTAAATCTCACAGGGTGTACTTTAATCATGCCAAATTTCAGAATTAGATACAAAGAGTAACTTATTTGGAATAGGTATCAAATCAAATGCTACAACCATCACATACCTTAATCTTGAAGCTTGAATCTTGTTTCTTCTTCTTGGCCTTCACCCTTATGTTTTTCTCTCTAAATTTTGGTAGAATTTCCCCTCTACAAATGGCTGCCAAAATGATCTTCCAAGGTGGGGTATTTATAGCCAAAACTTTGGCTTGAATGGACCAAAATGCCCTTGGTGGCTAATAGAAAGAGTAAAGGCAATCTTAGAACTTCAAGTTAACTTTTACATCATTATTGCATCACCTTCTTGCATCATCCTTACCTCATCCTTCTAGAAGATGCCAAGTGTCACAAATGTGGTGGAGAAGAAGGGAGATTAGATCCTAGCCATTGGATCAAACTTGTTCCCTAAGTTTCCTCCGAATTTACTTGGCCCACGTTTCTCCGACTTTCTTTATAGCCTTCCTGAGTTCAGAAAATTCTTCTGTCTGCTCCATAAATTCTCTTTAATTCTAGAGAGTATCTATGAATTTTCTTAGGCCATAACACTTCCTTTAAGCCTTGCATAAAAATTCATTTACTAAAATGCTCTTTTATCGGCATAATCAGCTTTTTAATTTATTAAAGCCACTCCACTGGCCTTTTGGTTGCGGGACTAATTTTATAAATTAGTACAACCTTTCAACCATTTAATCTCATTTTTTGTGTACATTTTTTAGGTCTCTTGCTATTTCAAATAATTACCTCAAACGGTATACTTTTTACCGGTCATAACCTCATAAATTCCATTTAAGCTACCTCAGGGGTACTTTCGTCTTTTCTCTTCACAGAAGAGCCTTAGAATATTATTTTCCATTTTCTGGAATTTTCTTGGAATTCTCTATATACTCTTCCATTTTTACCCCTATTGATCATAACTTCATGAATTTACAGTTTAGTTCCTGTTTGGACTTAACTTCATACAATCCTTTCTTTGAAGTTTCTAACTTAACCTTTTACCTGTATCTAGCCTCTTTTCTCTCTTTGGGCCTTCGAAACTTTACTGGAGTCTCTAATTTTGATTACACTTTAGCTCCTTAAAACTTTCACTTTGCAGTTTAGTCCTTAAAAGTGCTTTAACTTCCTTTCTCGTCTTTGGGACCTTTGCTAATAGGGGTCTGGTAACTTATCCAATTCAGGCTATTTCTGATACTTTTAGGCTCAAAAGTTGGGATGTTACACAAGCACAGGTCAAGAAGTTTTGATCCATCGAATGGATATGAATCCATCAGAATCTAGACTACCATTCACAATGACAAGAAGGCAGTTTCCTATCATATTATCATTTTCTGTGACGATCAACAAAAGTCAGGGACAATTAATGACTAGTGTTGGCTTATACCTACGTAGACCTGTCTTCACACATGGTCAATTATATGTTGCACTATCAAGGGTTAAGTCTATGGATCGCATCAAGATTTTAATTCTTAATTCGGACAAAAACCCAACAAACAAGATGACTAATGTGGTCTCCAAAGAAATATTTCAAAACATCATGTGAAGCTTATTGGTGATTAAATGTTTCTTTACATCTTCAAATGTAATACTTTATAAGGTAAAAAAAATTTTGTTGTTCTTTTTTGTTAATTTTGTTGGTACTTTCAAGTTACTCTTATATAACTTTTTTTATGTTTTAAAAAACTATTTTCATTAATTTTATGTCAAGATATCTATGTTCAAATTTTGTGTGCATTGTCATGACAAAATTATTCATAATTTACAACCCGTGCAACGCACAGGAGAGTTTTCTAGTTTCTTCTTAAACTTTTAAAACAGGTAATTAAAGTTAGGTCACATTCTTGATTTCTTTTGAAAAGAACATTATTATTCTAAAAGTATCCGTAATCAATTTCATTCTTCTTTTAAAAATGAGTCAAGAGTAAATCAATAAAAGGCTACGTAAATTAGTAAAAGATTTTTTTTCTTCTGCAAATACTTTAGTGTATTAAAAATATCTTTTTAAAAAGACTTCGTTAAAAGGCTGGGAGGGAGTGGGAATTTGGGTTGTAAAAGTCTGCACACACAGGAATAGGGAAAAGAAAAGACGGGATGAAACCTTGTTAGTTTTTCTGGGAAGAAATTCTTTTTAGTTTAGAAGTGCATTTGATAATTGATATTAGTTCTCTCACTGAATTTTTTTTTTGGAAAGATAACTGAAGATAAAAAATGAAAGCAAAAGTACAAACCAAGCTATCAAGCCCTATCCGCCTCAAAATTGCCTCAAAATCAAAAGAAGGAGGTGATCAAAAGATATAAAAATTAGTGTCAATCTTATGACAGGTACTTGGTTAACTGATCGGCCAAGAAAATCATCTTCCTTTCAACATGACAAAAAATAAGACGACAGTCTCTATATTTATAATTAATATAATATCATCAACTAAATCTTTAAAAAGGTAGCCATCATCATAACCTCTAGTCGCAAAGTTGATAGCCTCTATATAGCCTGAAAATATACAAATTTTTTGAAGTCCTCTGGACCAGCATAAATTCAAGTTATGTAAAAACCCCCATTAATTAGTTCTACAATAGTTGGTGGCACATTCATGAGTTTAGAGTATGTTGGCGTGAATGGTTTTCTGAAGAGTATAAGAAGAAAAGATGAAGAAGAAAGTGATGTATGATATCTTCAGGATGTGGGTAACAAATTCTTTTAAACTTAGTTCGCCTCCAACTATTCCTATCTTATAGGGTGGACGTGGGTTGACCGGTGAATTTTTTTCAAGACATAATGAAGACCCTTGAATATGTATGAATATGTATTGCACTTTCAAGATTCAAGTGAAAACAATAATGGCCTTTACAAAGTGATAATTTGATTCTATCTCTGTGTGCACTTAAAGAAAAAAGCAATGAGTTTGATCTTTGTGTTTATGTTATGTTCTATACAAATGAAATGATAGTAAGAGGTTTATATAGACAATTAAATGATGCTTCAAAGAGATATCTTTTGAAATAATACTTATTAAATAAAAAGTCACGACTATGTGTTGGTTTATGAACCAACATAATTTAAATAAATAAAATGTAATCCTCCAATCCTAAATATAAGACTCCCTTTGTAGTGTAATTTACACTACAAAAAAAGTCTTATATTTAGGATCAGAGGAGTACTTAATATGTAGGATCTTTTAGTATTGTAACTTCCTACATAACCCTTCATATAAATATATTAATTTATATGAAGACATAATCCCTCATATAAATATATTAATTTATATAAGAACACAACCCTTTAAATAAATTTATTAATTTATTATGAAGACATAACCCCTCATATAAATTTATTAATTTAATTAATTTACATAAGAACATGACTTTTTAAAAACACATCTCTTTATTTTAAAAATATTCCCATAGAGCAGAAGCAACTTATCCAACGGTTAGAGTGATCCAAAACAAATCCACCACAGCCACTGCTCTCATTCATCATATCAGACCCGTCTACTTCCAACTTAACAAAATTATCATCAATGTAATTTGCGTCATACCGCCGTTTAGACATCATCATATAGATGGAACATGCCAGTACAATAAAAATTGAAAGAAGAAAAGGATCCTTTTTTTTTTTTTTTGATATACTGAAAAGCAAAACAAAACTAAAAGCCAAAACTATCAGTCGCTTGTGTCCGATTGCATGATGCTGCCAACAGTTTCAGGTTGCAGGAGACCCAAACCAACGCCAAGTGCTGGTGCATTCTTCGCCAAAGCATCTACGATCATGTTGTCATCCCTCGGAATATAACAGTACTGCACTCTCCAGTCCTGTTTTAGCATTTCTTTAATCTCCATGATCAGTCGGTAGTGTTCGTGCAGATCAGACGGCTCATTTCGGATGCTAGATAGGGCCTCTTGTGAATTGCTCCGGAGTGTGATCTTTCTGAAGCCGTTATCCCATGCTCTTTTCAACCCCATAAGACAACCCCATAACTCAGCTTTGAGTTCATCTCCAGAAGGAAGCTTTAGTTGAAATTAAAGCCTTCAACCATTTCGCCATACCTGTCCCTAACAACACCTCCGCAAGCTGCAATCTGGTTCAGCCTAGAGAAAGCCCCATCAACTTCGATGGTACTTTCATTATCGCTCAGTGGAGAAGCTTCCACATTACCAGACTCGTATTTCCCTGAATATTCACATTGGTAAACTTCTTTTGAGCATTCATCATGCTGCCCAGAATTGCAGTGGCTCGAGCATGTGTACTATTCACACTAGTTGCCGCCTTCGTGTTTACCCATTCGTTCCGGTCGCACCAAATAAGCCAACACATAATTACAAAGAGCCCCTTCCAGTAACAATCCTGCTGGCTTACATTGCATGACATATTGAGGTGGACCCACTCAATCATATTACTACTGAAAAATCTGTTATGGAACGACGCTTAATGAGCGACGCCCACATCTTCTTTATCTCTTCACAATCCCTAAGAGCGTGAATAGCATCTTCACAGGACTGTTTACATCTATCACACAAACCAGTGGAGTGAAGATTCATGCGATGCTTTCTTTGATTTGTAATGAGACGCTCATGCAACAATGTCCACGTGAAAGTCTTGCATCGTCGTGGGATCTTAAGCTTCCACACTTCCATCCATCGCACCCCATTACTTACCGGGGCCTGCTGTAAAGAGCGGTAAGCTAAGAGAACTGAAAATAACCCACTCGTCTCCCATTTCCATCTTGCTCGTACCTCGCCGTTACTATCATGGACCTGTTGTATGCCATTGGTCACTTCCTTCCAGTTCCGTTTAATGCCATTCCATGCATTAGAACCCGGCTTGTTTTGGGTAATTTTTGGCATTAAGGCATTGCCACAGCCATATTTCCCACGAATGACCCGAGCCCACAAGGAATGCCGGTCATTCACGAGCGCCTAACCAAGTTTCATCATAAAGGCACGGCTTTGTTGTTTCATTTGCCTCAAACCAAGGCTACCAAATTGACTTAACACAAATTTATTAGACCCAGATGCGCATATGGGCCGATCAAGAAAATAATGACGGACCCTGAAATTTCAAATCGACTACCACACAGACACAAAAAAAAAAAAAAAAGAGCAAAGGATCTATATAGAAGCGATGGGTAGAAGCAACTGAGAACGACCTTACTTGAAGAGGATCTGTGTTATAGGTTCGTACCTCTCTGTCTTTGAGTAGGAGACAATATCTAATTATAGAGTTAATTTAAATCTTAAATATAAGACATATTTTTTATATCTATCATTTTTTTTTTTTCAAAACACCTCTGTTGATATTTCCTCAACCATAATCAATTATGAGAGGGAGGGAGAATATAATGAAGATGATTAAAATATTTATCATGGTTAACTAACTTACATAATTTTCTTAATTTAATCAAATTAGTTAAATAGATCTTATATTCAGAATTGAAGGAGTATATGTATTGGCAAATGATGCATTTCTCTAGACCAACCACAGTGTACTCAAATGAATCCGCGTCAGTGGCAAGACATCAAGCTTCTAGTTTCCACTTACTTAAAAATAGATGTTTTCATTTCGCAATTCACGTTCGTCTTTCTTGTATCATTTTCTTCAAATGCACAATATCTTCTTATCAGAGACAATTCTATTCAAGACATTATTCTTTCTTGTATCATTTTACCAATTCCTCCATTGACTCTATCTTTTTTTGCCTTTTCTTTAAAACAATAACTATTTTTATAAATGCTTAGATTTTTAATATTTTATCATATATCTAATTCTTTAAATGTTTAAATTTTAAAATATAAAAATAATTTTATTAAAGAATTAAAATTTAGAACATGCTTTGTCAGGGTTTATTTGTAGGTAATTTGTTAAGTCAAACATTACTTTTTGTTACATGTGACAATGTTAAAGGGTTAAAAATTACATTTTTTAAATTTAAGGGGACGAAACTAAAATTTGAGATAAACAAGACCAAATATATTACTTTCGATTCTTAATACTATTTTTTGTCTTTAATATAAAAGTTAGTTGATTAATTTGAGTAGATTAAGAAATTTTGTTAAATTAGTTATTTATAATAAATAGATATTATCTTTCCTAAAATACTTTCGCTAATCATGTATATTAGCTAAAACTACTATTTGATGAAACATTTAACATGTGTAACTAGTAAAAGGATTATTTTAAAAAAAATAAATAAATATGAGAGATAAAATGAATTGAGTTTTATATTTAAAACCAAATTAAAAGTCAAATTAGTTCTTATATTAAAGATTGAAGGTAGTCTAAGATTTGGTTAATTAATTTGAAAAGATTAAGAAAGTTAAAAATTACTTAATTATAACATATATTATATAATCTTTTTGAAATACTTATATATCGGTTTATAAATTAAGCAAATTAGTTTAGATGAAAACAATAAATATAAATACTTTAAAAGATTATATAGATTTTTTAATCTCTCAAAATTAATCAACTAATCAAAACTGGAGGTAAAATATTTTAGTCAAAAAAACCAGAAAATATAGGTAATCATTTTGTAATAACTGTGCGTTAAAGAAAGTCATTCCATTTTGAAGCTCAGTTCAAGGCCTTGCTAAAACTTATGATGGGACAAACAATAAAAGTGGTAACATAGGTTGAGCCTACACACCTAATTCGCCAACTAATCACAACAAATTATAAGTTGGATTGGTATAATGTGAGCTCATTGTGATATGAATTTTTTTTAGTACGTACCGAATCCGCTTTGTCCTTTTCAAAAATAATTGCAGTTTTATTTTGATTTTAATAAGAAAAGAATCTATCATGTCCACTCAATTTAAGCAAAGGATCATATGTCCAATGATGGCTAGACTTTTTTATTTATTACTCGACATGCTTTTTGTCTTGTTTTTAAGGTATTTTTAATATTTTTTTACACAGATAAAAAAATTTAAATTATATTAATTTTTTATTAAAATATAACAATTTTTTAAAATTTTATTCTTATTTAATATATATCTTTCAAAAAAAAATAGCTATTTATACAATTTTCTAACTTTATCTTTATTTAATATATATACCTTTCAAAAAAAAATATTTATACTATAATAAATAAAAAACAAAATAGTATATTTATAGTAAAAATTTAATAAGATGGCTTATAAGTAAGATGAAAAAACTTCTTGGAGCAGAAGAGCATGTTGGTTTAGCGCTAACTGCTAAGCCAGGTCTGATGTGCTAGTATCTCCTCAGGCTTTGGTTCACTGGAACTCATCATTATTAATAAGATTCTACATATCCCCAAATAAATTGGCTCCTCTCTTTCAGGAACTCTATGATCTGATGTCTTTCCCATGAAACAAAATTTCTCCTCTGTTTCTTTTTTTCATTTCTTTACCTTGTTAACCTCTTTGTTCTCTTTCTTACTTTATACTGGAACTTATCTTTTTTTATTATGAATCATTGAATCATTTTGTCTTTTCAAAAAGTTATACTCAAGTGTGTCTGCTTCTCGGCAACAAAATGGAGGCGGCTATCAATAATTGAAGTCTTCAACCTAATGTGGCGGTGGGTCAACTCTTACGGGCGATCGCCGTTCACTGTTCTCATCCCCATTCTGCAAACGCACTCCCTTACGTCATTGTGTTTCTAGCTCCTTAGTGGAGCCTCCATTGTTTTTGCATTTGTAAGTAACTTTTAATTCTATATATAGCACTTACTATCTGATTCGTTTGATTTAAAGCAACTAAGAATCCTGTGTTGTGCAAAAATGGCTTCTGAAGCTCCCGTCATTCCTCTTCTTACGCCCTACAAGTTGGGGAAATTCAATCTATCCCATAGGTACTCACACTACCTCGAATTGCTTCAATTGCATTTTTCCTCCGTAATTTCATGAGGATCAGTTGTTGGTGAGAAATCCCACTTTAGCACTGGCATGGGTCATGAGTTGTATCATACTTGGAAATCACAACTTTTGCAGTTTGTTCTGCGACTCTCCGAGAAATAGGATCATTATTTTGATTATTTTGATTCTTTAGTCCTTGTGTTCTCCTTACTTGTGTGCTACAAAAAGTCACTTTCACCTTTGACTGGTAAAGCAGAATAGGGAGACTCTCTTGTGGTCAAAGGAGTATGTCTCTGATTACATTAAATGTCAGTATCAGTTGAATATTTCTGGTTTCTTAATTAAAAATTGGTTTACTTTTGATATGCAGAGTTGTTTTGGCACCACTGACTAGACAGAGATCTTACGGCAATGTTCCTCAGCCGCATGCTATCTTATATTACTCTCAGCGAGCTACCAAGGGGGGTCTTTTGATAAGTGAAGCTACAGGTGTTTCTGACACTGCTCAAGGGTAATTTGTCCGCTTTATTATTCCTTATGTTGACTAGATCTCTTTTTGGGCAGGTTGTTTCACATGACATGTTTAATGTTTGTTTTCTATTCTATGTGAAGATATGTTGATACACCTGGAATATGGACAAAGGAGCACGTGGAAGCATGGAAGCCCATTGTGGATGCTGTTCATGCCAAAGGTGGTATCTTTTTTTGTCAGATCTGGCATGTGGGAAGGGTTTCAAATACAGGTACTGTTTTTTGTAAGTTAGTCTTCTGATCTGTGAACAGTAGCTAGAAAATATCCTGTCTTTTTGAGAGAGTGAACAAGAGATTTAACATATTTCAGTAGATGATCACTATTTATGGCATGAACCCATACTCTTGTCAATTAGAGCAATACATTCTGGGAAAATGATTTTTGAATTATTTTAAGTTTATGATGTCTTCTTCTCCACTATTTATTTAAATCTTTGGATTTTTAATGAGTATGGATTTCATCCGGTTCCTGAGTATCATTGCTGCAAAAGTTGGTTAATCAATTAAAAACCTAGTCGACCAAAATATATTATGCTCCATGGCAAGGTAGTTCAAGTGGAAACTATTTGTAGAAGTTAAACTCCTAGAAGGAACTTTTGTAGACATTATCTGATAACTCAGTTCAGTGCCAGGACCATATACGAGTTTGGGGAACCTGTTTGTTCCTCCCCCGTGCAAAATAAATGAATGAAAAGAAAACGAGAAATAATAAATAAAAGGAAAAAGGTTCTCAAATCATTTTGATTGTGTTGACAACCTTTGTAGCGGCACGCCCTCCATCGAAGCATGACTGTTCAAAATCAACTGAACTTCAAAATAGCAGGCCACCATTTTGAATCATTCAGGGGTGATTTCCATAGGTGAGAAACGTGGGAGGCTTTCTAATCATAATCTTTTATTTAATATGCTGCAACATTTAAATCCTTGAATTTTATAATCTACTCAGATTATAACATCTGAATTGAAGTTAAGACACTTGTCTATTCAACACATGCATTCCCAATGCCCACCTCCATTCTGTTGCAGCATCTGTACCATTATCTCTTCCAAATTTCTTTGGAATAAAATTAATTCGTTGTACATGCTTGGTATGTCCGCACCTTACATTATTTTAAACAGGTTTTCAGCCAAATGGGCAAGCCCCAATATCTTGCACAGACAAGGGACTGACCCCACAAATTCGAACTAATGGCATTGATATTGCACAATATACACAGCCAAGGAGGCTGAGGGTTGACGAAATTCCTCAAATCGTCAATGACTTCAGGCTCGCTGCAAGGAATGCTATGGAAGCTGGTACCTTCACTAACTAAAATCAATTTACTTCAACCATAATCTATGAGCAATGCCTTGAATGGCAGGATATAATTATAGTATTTCTGTTTTTAATGCATTGGTTCTGGTTATAATTAAGAGGCTTCAATACAATTCTGTTCTTTCTAGTTCCATCAAAGGTTCAATTTTGTCCCTCTAAATTAAGGGTTGGAATTTACAACGATGCTCTCCTACTTTTTAAAATGATTTGAGTTTACCCCATTGTCTCATGTATATCCTAGATATAATGTTGCACCCGGCAATTTTTTGACTTGAACACCAAAATCGTGAAGATAATGGTACCAAGTAAATAAATAACATCTAAATTCGCATGTGGTTAGATTTTGTATTACTTCAGGCAGCATGGAAACATTTTTTTTTTTTTAATTTTCTATTACCATCAGTATTGCCTGCTTTTGAAGTAACAGGTACCAAATTGAAATTTTTACAAATTTAAGGGGACCTAATTTGTATATAAGCCGAAGTATTAGGCACTGTTTTTATTCTTTAGAAATGATGTTACCCACTGATAGTGTCGCTGCCAGTGCATTTTATCTTAATATGCTTGACATTGTAACTGAATGCAGAAGTTTAAAATAACGATACTTGTGCTGTTGTAGGCTTTGATGGGGTTGAAATTCATGGTGCCCATGGTTACCTTGTTGACCAATTTATGAAAGATCAGGTCAATGATAGAACCGATGAGTATGGTGGATCACTAGAGAACCGTTGTCGGTTTCCTTTGGAAGTTGTTAAAGCTGTTGCTGACGAGATAGGGGCAGAGCAAGTTGGAATTAGATTGTCACCTTTTGCACATCATGCAGAATGTTGGGATTCCAATCCTAAAGAACTTGGCTTGTACATGGTGAATTCCTTGAATAAATATGGCATTTTGTACTGTCACATGGTGGAACCAAGAATGAAGACTGCTTTGGAGCAAGTTGAGTGCCCTGACAGTCTTGTTCCAATGAGAAAGGCCTTCAATGGCTCCTTCATTGTTGCTGGAGGCTTTGACCGTAAAGATGGCAACAATGCAGTGGCAGAGGACCGTGCAGATCTTGTTGCCTATGGTCGGTGGTTCTTGGCAAACCCAGATTTGTCAAAGAGGTTTGAGCTTGATGCCCCTCTCAACAAGTACCACAGGGAGACATTTTACACTTCTGATCCTATTGTTGGATATACTGATTACCCATTTCTTGAAGTGATCTCTTAAGGCTCTAATTGTGTTATGAGTATTTTCATTCTCTGCTATGAAGGCCGTTCCAGTTTCAGTGAGTGTAATAAACTTGATAAATGGCACAAAAGGCCACTGGGCAAAAGTTGATTGTCTGTGCCCTGCTATTTCTCCTTTATGAATAACTTTGTACTATTTTGGGTTCAAGTAATGTAACAGAAGGGGTATGCTTTGTCGCCACCAATATATATTACTCATAATAATGTTACTACTCTTGTAGTCATTCGCTAATCATGAGTTATCTTTTGCTGATAAATAGTCGCTTTATGTCTTAGCACAATACAATTAGAAAAACTAATATAATTCTCCCTTCTTTTAATTGAAATTCTCGGAATAGCAAGCTGAGCTTCATGGTAGAAGTGCTGAAATTTCTCATCGATGGATCATGAGATGGAGATCACCCAGAACAAAGTCATTCACAAAAGATTTCTTTAACCCAGTCAAAGGCAGATGACAACTTAACCATTTAGCTTAAACAAATGGGTATTCCAAACACAGGAAAAAGGACATGAAGGCAAAGAAAGAGGCATTGAAGCAAGTGCATGGGAATCTAGAGTGACATAAAAAGAATGTCCTTTTGAATCAATCATTCATTAGGCCCTATGAAAGGAATCATATTGATCATTAGGTCTCCCACTGAGAGGCTACTCGCACTTTATGTGATTAGAACTTAGAAGTATGTGTATTGCATGTACCAATCAGTTTCAAAACTTATATGGGGCTTGACTAATCTAGATTTAGTTGGGTTGGATCATATAGATTTAAAATTCTTTTAGCAATCAATCTTATTCGTTTACAAGATTTAAACTAGATATCTTATGGAAGTTGTGTGAAACCACTTGAATTGACTGCCATTGGCAAACGTTAAAAATGAAAGAAAAAATGATATAAAAATGTGATTTAAATAAGAATTATATTTTATTAGTCCACCTATCATCTTTTCCCAAATATAAGGGACGTCACCAAAAAATAAAAAATAAAAAATGTGATTTAAATAAGGTCGATACTTTTTTCGTATATCTACTCCAGTGAATATAAGGGATTTGGTCCCTTTTTAAGTGACAAATATTCATAATTTTATAATAAATGAAAAACATTGTTAAAAATTTATGATTGCAAATTCAGATTTTAGAAAATTCATATTTATATTTAAATATTATGAAAATTATATTTATTATATGCTAAAATTTTAAGATTTTTTTAATAATTCCTTTTTTTTTAGTATTTCACTTTATTTTTTAATTTAAAATAAATATTACTCATTTGAAGTTAAATCCTCATTGACATCTGGCAAAAATAATTACAGCAAGCCAAAAAAAAAAGTTAGAAAGAATTAATTAAAATCATGTGTTTAAGTATATGCATAAAAAATTAGACTAAAGTATACATTTGATCCTTTAATTTTATATAAGGTTTCAATTTACTTCCTTAACTTTCAAAAGGGTATTTTTGGTCTTTTTAACTATAAAATGGTTAGTTTTAAATAATAATTTCTTATGACAATTATGATTGTTTTGAAAAGTAAACTTAATATGTTAGCATTTAAAAATATTTTATCAACATTTAAGATTTTATTATTATCATTTTTTATTAACGGGTTTAGAGTTAAATAACTAAAAATATACTTTCTAAAGTTAAGAGACCAAACTGAAACTTTATGTGAAGTTAAAAAACTAAAAGTATAATTTAGTCTAAAAATTATATAACAAAAAGAAAATTATTAGATGTGGGCAAGACAATTTCGGGGGTATTTGGATAAGATCAAAATCATGGTTTCAGAAATGCTTTTACGGTATACGAAGTAAATATGTGGAGAAGTTTGCCTCGATTTGTGGAAAAATATTTTTGAAAAGTGATTATTGGGGTATCCAAACACTCCCTGACATAAGTTTTGATTATTGGTTACGTGGGTCGGATGACGATTTTTAGATAAATTGTCAATCAAAAAATTTTGGTTAGTAATTTTATTTAGTATTACCTTCAGTCCTAATTATAAGAACTAGTTGACTAATTTGAGAAAATTAAAGAAAGAAGTTAAATAAGTTATTTGTAATAAATATGTATTATTTTTTTCTAAAATATCTTTGCTAATCAAGTATATTGACTATAACTACTATTGTTATAAGAACTACTTTAGGAAAAAAAAAAATAAATATGAGAGATAAAGTGGATTGAGTCTTATATTTAGGATCAAAATAAAAGTCAAACAAGATCTTATATTAAGGATTGGAGGTAGTATTTTCTTCTCTCTTTGTCTACTTTTTTTTTGACACTCCTGCTTGATTTGCTTTTTTTTTAACATGTTTAAATTATCCTAAATAATTTTCTATCATTTTCTCTTCATTTTCTTTCCAAAACTAGATAACATTTCAACTTTGTCACGTATATGTTAATTACGAAATTTATCTTTTCTTATAAGATTACATATCTATTTCAACATCATCATATTAGTTAATCCCATTGTATCCCTATATTATCTCTGTAAAATTCAAAATTTAGTGCTCTATAGCCACTTTAGACTGTATTCAAAAGCATTATTGTACTTCTCCAAATATTCAATGTAAATTCTGTTATTATTTAGTAGGAGCCTGCTGAGATACTATTAAGAGAATTATACACTAGTAACGCTGTGGAATTGGTTTCTTAAATAAAAATCCTGAAAAAGGGGATGCTAATGCCCGACCAGACACCCGTTAATTTTGTGAAGAAATATGGTTAGGACACAAACAAAATTTTTTGAAAAATAAGTTGCAAATATTAATTCCGACGATCATAAATAAAAGTCTTTTTCTCCGATGAGGACAAAAATCTTAATTATAAACTGAGAATTACATTTTAAGCTTAAATCTGTTAATAAATAAATTGTCCATGTGATTTCCAACATTTATAAAAAAAAAATTTACTTTTAGTTAGTTTTCTAACTTTTATGTTACCTGAAGATAGTATAATTCTAAAAATGATAGTAATGAATTTCATTCATTTTTCTTTTAAAAAAAAGAGTTAAATGTATTTTGCAAAATAAATTAAGGACGGGTAAATATTTTAGTATCCTACGTCTTATTTTAAATATAAGAGCTAATTCAACATTCAATGTAACCCCAAATGCAAGAATCCAATTTATTTTATCTCCTATATTTATCTATTTTTTCATAAGATAGTGATTATAATATTTGCACATGTTAAGTGTCTTATTAAATAATATTTGTAATTAATACATGCAGTTAGTAAGAGTATTTTAAAAAAGATGACATTTATATATTATAAATAACTAACTTAATTAATTTTCTTAATATATATAAATTAGTTAATTAATTCTTATATTAAGTACAATATGTAGTACTACCTCCGATCCTTATTATAAAAACTCGTTTGACTTTTATTTTAATCCTAAATATAAGACCACAATTCATTTTGTCTCTCATATTTATTCATTTTTTTTCTCAAGGTAATCCTTATAATAATAGTATTTTTAGTCAATACATTTTATTAGTAAAAATATTTTAAAAAAATAGCACATATTTATTACAAATAACCAATTTAATTAGTTTTTTTAATTTACTTAAATTAGTGAATTGATTTTTATAACTCTCAATACGGAGGTCGCATTCTATGAAGCGATAAAAAACTATTTTTTGACAAAGGTCTGGCTAAAAGCGACGGGACGAGGGGTTCCCACTTCATAGGATCAGATCTCATTAGATGAAAGTGTGTCTGCCGATGGCTATTAAATAATTGGAGTCTTCAACTTAAATACTCCCTCCGTTCCTTGTTCCTATATATAAGAGACACTTACAAGTTGTCTCTACTTTTTTGTGTTGATTTACTATTTTATCCATATTTATTATCTCCAACTCACACTCTCTCTCCCTCCCACTTCTCTTTCTTTTAATAATTTAATTGTTCTCTCTCATGCTCTCTCTTTATTAATGAGGGCACTTTTGGAAAAAAAATTATACTTTTTACACATTAATTGTTCTTAACTAATTTTAACTGTTTTTTTTATCAACGTATTTCGGTTATTTGTCTTTTATAATAAGGAACGGAGGGAGTAATGTAATATGGCGATGGGTCAACTCTTGTGGGCTATCGCCATTCACTGTTCTCATCCCCACCCTGCAAACGCACTCCCTCACGTCATCATCGTTTCTGCATTTGCAAGTCACTTTTAGTTCTATATATAGCAATTAGTAGCTGGTTCTTTCTATTTATAGCAACTAAGAATCCTGTGTTCTGCATTTATGGCTTCTGAAGCTCCCAGTCCCACCATTCCTCTTCTTACGCCCTGCAAGTTGGCGAAATTCAATCTATCCCATAGGTACTCACATCCCTCGAATTGCTTCACTTGCATTTTTCCGCCGTAATTTCATGAGGATCAGGTGTTTGTGAGAAATCCCAGTTTAGCACTGGAATGGGTCATGAGTTGTATCATACTTGAAAATCACAAATTTTGCACTTTGTTCTACGACTCTCCAATAAATAGGATCATTATTTTGATTGTTTAATCCTTGTGGTCTACTTACTTGTGTGCTACAAAAAGTCACTTTCACCTTCGATTGGTAAAGCAGAATAGGAGACTCTCTTAGGTCAATAGAGTTTGTCTCTGATTACTTTAAATGTCAGTATCAGTTGAATATTTCTGGTTTCTTAATTAAAAATGGGTTTGCTTTTGATATGCAGAGTTGTTCTGGCACCGCTGACTAGACAGAGATCTTACGGCAATGTTCCTCAGCCGCATGCTATCTTGTATTACTCTCAGCGAGCTACCAAGGGGGGTCTTTTGATAAGTGAAGCTACAGGTGTTTCTGACACTGCTCAAGGGTAATTTGTACGCTTTATTATTCCTTATGTTGACTAGATCTCTTTTTGGGCAGGTTGTTTCACATGACATGTTTAATGTTTGTTTTCTATTCTATGTGAAGATATGTTGATACACCTGGAATATGGACAAAAGAGCACGTGGAAGCATGGAAGCCCATTGTGGATGCTGTTCATGCCAAAGGTGGTATCTTTTTTTGTCAGATCTGGCATGTGGGAAGGGTTTCAAATACAGGTACTGTTTTTTGTAAGTTAGTCTTCTGATCTGTGAACAGTAGCTAGAAAATATCCTGTCTTTTTGAGAGAGTGAACAAGAGATTTAACATATTTCAGTAGATGATCACTATTTATGGCATGAACCCGTACTCTTGTCAATTAGAGCAATACATTCTGGGAAAATGATTTTTGAGTTATTTTAAGCTTATGATGTCTTCTTCTCTACTGTTTATTTAAATCTTTGGATTTTTAATGAGTATGGATTTCATCCGGTTCCTGAATATCATTGCCGCAAAAGTTGGTTGATCAATTAAAAACCTAGTCGACCAAAATATATTATGCTCCATGGCAAGGAAGTTCAAGGGGAAACCATTTGTAGAAGTTTAACTGCTAGAAGGAACTTTTGCAGACACTATGCATGTTTTCTGATGACTCAGTTCAGTGCCAGGACAATACACAAGTTTGGGGAACCTGTTTGGTCCTCCCCCGTGCAAAATAAATGAATAAAAAGAAGATGAGAAATAATAAAAGTAAAAAGGTTCTCAAATCATGTTGATTGTGGTGACAACCTTTATAGTGGCACGCCCTCCATCGAAGCATGACTGTTCAAAATCAATCGAACTTCAAAATAGCAGTCCACCATTTTTGAATCATTCATGGTTGATTTCCATTGGTGAGAGACATTGGAGGCTTTATAATCATGATCTTTTATTTAATATGCTGCAACGTTTAAATCCTTGAATTTTATAATCTATTCAGGTTATAACCTCTGAATTGAGGTTAAGATACTTCTCTATTCAACACATACATTCCCAACTCCCACCTCCTTTCTGTTGCAGCATCTGTACTCATTAAGTCTTCCAAATTTCTGTGGAATAAAATGAATTTGTTGTATATGTTAGTATGTCCCCATCTTACATTATTTTAAACAGGTTTTCAGCCAAACGGGCAAGCCCCAATATCTTGCACAGACAAGGGACTGACCCCACAAATTCGAAGTAATGGCATTGATGTTGCACAATATACTCAGCCAAGGAGGGTGAGGGCTGACGAAATTCCTCAAATCGTCAATGACTTCAGGCTCGCTGCAAGGAATGCTATGGAAGCTGGTACCTTCACTAACTAAAATCAATTTACTTCAACCATAATCTATGCGAGCAATGCCTTGAATGGCAGGATATAATTATAGTATTTCTGTTTTCAGTGCATTGATTCGGGTTATACTTAAGAGTCTTCAATGCAATTCTGTTCTTTCTAGTTCCATTAGAGGTTCAATTTTGTGCCTCTAAATTAAGAGTTGGTATTTACAATAATGCTCTCCTATTTACAATGATACAATTTTTTAAAAAGTTGTACCTGACAATTTTTTGACTAGGACACCAAAACCGTGAAGGTAATGGTACCAAGTAAATAAATAACAGCTAATTTGCATATGATTAGATTTTGTATTATTTCAGGCAGCATGGAAACATTTTTTTCATTTTCTATTACCATCAGTATTACCTATTTTTGAAGTAACAAGTACCAAATTGAAATTTTTACAAATTTAAGGGGACCTAATTTGTGTATAAGCCAAAGTATTAGGCATTGTTTTTATTCTTTAGAAATGATGTTACCCACTGACAGTGGCACTGCCAGTGCACTTTATCTTAATATGCTTGACATTGTAACTTAATGCAGAAGTTTAAAATAACGATACTTGTGCTATTGTAGGTTTTGACGGGGTTGAAATTCATGGTGCCCATGGTTACCTTGTTGACCAATTTATGAAAGATCAGGTAAATGATAGAACCGATGAGTATGGTGGATCACTAGAGAACCGTTGTCGGTTTCCTTTGGAAGTTGTTAAAGCTGTTGCTGACGAGATAGGGGCAGAGCAAGTTGGAATTAGATTGTCACCTTTTGCACATCATGCAGAATGTTGGGATTCCAATCCTAAAGAACTTGGCTTGTACATGGCGAATTCCTTGAATAAATATGGCATTTTGTACTGCCACATGGTGGAACCAAGAATGAAGACTCCTTTAGAGCAAGTTGAGTGCCCTGACAGTCTTGTTCCAATGAGAAAGGCCTTCAATGGCTCCTTCATTGTTGCTGGAGGCTATGACCGCAAAGATGGCAACAATGCAGTGGCAGAGGACCGTGCAGATCTTGTTGCCTATGGTCGGTGGTTCTTGGCAAACCCAGATTTGCCAAAGAGGTTTGAGCTTGATGCCATTCTCAACAAGTACCACAGGGAGACATTTTACACTTCTGATCCTATTGCTGGATATACTGATTACCCATTTCTTGAAGTGATCTCTTAAGGCTCTAATTGTGTTGAGTATTTTCACTCTCTGCTGTGAAGGCCGTTCCAGTTTCAGTGAGTATAATAAACCTGCTAAATGGCACAAGAAGCTACTGGGCAAAAGTTGATTGTTTGTGCCCTGATATTTCTCCTTCATGAATAACTTTGTACTATTTTGGGTTCAAGTAATGTTACAGAAGGGACTCATAATAATGTTACTACTCTTGTAGTCATTCACTAATCATATGAGTTATCTTTTGCCGATAAATATTCGCGTTATGTCTTAGCACAATACAATTAGAAAAACTCATATAATTCTCCGTGTCTTTGAATTGAAATTCTTGGAATAGCAAGTTGAGCTTCAAGGTGGAAGTGCTGAAATTTCTCATTATGGATCATGAGATGCAGATCACCCAGAACAAAGTCATTCACAAAAGATTTAAACGTAATCTGATTATATTTCTGTAACCGAGTCAAAAGCAGATGACAGCTTAACCATTTAGCTATTCCAAGCACAGGAGAAAGAACATGGAGGCAAAGAAAGAGGCATTAAAGCAAGTGAATGGGAACCTAGAGGTGACACAAAGAGCGTCTTTTTGAATCAATCATTCATTAGGCCCTATGAAAAGAAACACATTGATCGTTAGGTCTCTCGCTCAAAAGCTACTCGCCCTTTATGTGATTAGATGTATGTTTATTGCACATACCAATAAGTTTTCAAAAGTTATATCGGGCCTGACTAATCTAGATTTAGTTGGGTTGGATGATATAGATTTAGAATTCTTTTAGCAAACAATCTTATTCGTTAACAAGATTTAAAATAGATATCTTAAGGAAACTGTGGGACACCACCTGAATTGACTGCCCCTGGCAAACATTTAAAATGAAAAAAGAAAAAGACACAAATATGTGATTTAAATAAGAGTTATGTTTTATTAGTGCACCTGTCACCTTTTCCCAAATATAAGGGATGTTACCAAAAAAAAAAAAAACCAAAAATGTGATTTAAATAAGATGGACACTTTTTACGTATGTCCACCCTAGTGAATGCAAGGGATGTGGTCCCTTTTAAGTGACAAATATAATTTTATAATAAACGGAAAACATTTAAAAAAAAATTATGATTACGAGTTCAGATTTTAGAAAATTCATATTTAAATGTTATGAAAATCATGGTTATTTTATACTTAATTTTAAAAATATTTTTAATAATTTCTTTTTATTTTTAGTTCATATTATGTCATTTTATTTGTTAATTTAAAATAAATATTACTCTTTTAGAATTAAATCCTCATTGACATCTAACAAAAGTATTTAAAGCAAGCCAAAAAAATGAAGTTAGAATGAATTAATTAAAATCATGTGTTTAAATATATGCATAAAAATTAGACTAAAGTATATATTTGATTCTTTAATTTTATATAAGGTTTTAATTTACTTCCTTTACTTTTAAAAGTGTATTTCTAGTCTTTTGACTTTAAAATCGTTAGTGTTAAATGATAATTTTTTATGATAATTATAATTGTTTTGAAAAGCTTAATATATTAGCATTTGAAAATATTTTATCAACATTTAATATTTTAATGTTATCACTTTTTGTTAATGTGTTTAGAATTAAATGACTAAAAATATATATTTAAAATTAGGGGATCAAACCGAAATTTTATATGAAGTTAAAAGACTAAAAATATACTTTAACCTAAAAATTATATAACAAAAGAAAATTATTAGATGCGGGCAAGACAATTTCATATGAGAAGGCCTAAGTTTTGATTATTGGCTACATGGGTGGGATATTTTTAGATAAATTGTCAGTCAAAAAGTTTTGGCTAATAATTTCATTAACTGTTTTCTCTCTTCATTTTCTTTCCAATATCAGATGACATTATGTAATAATGGTTTTCTCCAGTATGTTACTAACTTTTTTAAACTCAAAATTTAATAATACTACCCGTGATAAAAAAGAATTTTAATATAATCTTTGAAAAGGCTACCATGATCATAAAAAGAAATTTGATTCGCCAAAAATGTTAAGCATGATAGAAAAGACTTGAACTAATCATTCAAAATGTTTATCATGATTATAAGAGCTTTACTAAACAAATTGTGTGAAAATAATAATTAATAATATTTCACAATAACTGGAAGCCCAAAACATGACATTTAATTCTAAACCCATGATATGATATTTTTCAAATAAAATTCTTGCAAACCAACAGTAATCAACTACTTTCAAAAGTCATTGTAGATCTACAACTTACAAACACAAGTAAACCCCTGGAGACCTTTGGCCTTCTACCAGCATGCAATCTAGCAACAAAAGTAACTAAGATAATCAGTTTTAGATAAATCAGTGTGCACAAAGAGCTATATGCGGCAATATATAAATACTCATCATATGACAAAAAAGGAGGCTATATAAAATAAACTTGATAGCTAAGCCTTTGCAACCTTCCATGATAGACCAGCTTTAGAGCTATTCCTTGAAAATGTTAAACCATAGGGTCAAAGAAAAAGCATCAGTAACTAACAATTTTACTCATTAGGCATACAAGTAAGTGTTTAGGAAGTGTCAAGTGGGATAGTTACCAAAAAAAAAAAATCATAACATTCACAATTATTACATCGTTACACATATATCAAAATATAATATCTCACTCTTAATTCCACCTTATTTCCTCACACCTTATTTTCTTTGACTGAACCCATGGGCTATTACTCACCCATGTGACTAGTAGCTCAACACGATAAGCTTATCAATCAAGTGATATGTGAACTGGCCAAAATCCATAGAGCACAAGACAGGACCATGGGTTTTCCTTCTAGTCCACTAGCGGGGTGTTGTATGTCCTATATCACACGAAAGGGCCAAAAGATCAGCAAGTGTACATTTGGTATTCTAGCACCTTATTACCTCTATAATATGTACAAAATTCAACCCCTTATTTTCTCTGTAATATGGTTCCCATCAATCAACGTTCATCATCCCCTTTCGTATTTATGCTCATGAGATTTATAAAATAATTATTTATCAATAACATAATAACTTTCATATTTACCAAAATCAAGATTTTTAAATTTAAATCATGAACATCAATCCTCAAAATTATTTCTAAATAAATTCATGTCCCACATGACAAATTTATAAATTCATAATTATTTTTCAATAATATGAAGTATCTCAAGGCAATTTTAACAGTAATATATTTTATTGCTCAAATCATAACCCAATGGCATTTTAAGAATCTCATGTAATTCAAAATTAATACAAATATCATACAAGCATACATAATAAGTGGAAAGTGGTTACTTTTAACAAAATTTTTAAATATAAAATTATTATATTTTAAATTATAAAAATCCCTTTTAAAATTTAAACCTCAAAACCAAACCGTAAAAATTCAATAGTATATCAAATATTTATAAATAAATAATCTAATCAAAATTTTAATGGTATAGCTATAAGATTTTTTCCCCCCACAAATAATGGACTTTTTAGCTAAAATAATTATTTTAAAACCTCCAATTACCCAATAAATAAAACTCAATTGATCAAAATTTTAATACTCCTCCGGTCCTAATTATAAGATCCAATTGACTTATTTGAGGAGATTAAGGAAGTAAGTTAAGTTGGTTATTTATAATAAATAAGTGTTGTCATTCCTAAAATATCCTTGCTAATTAAGTATATTGGCTAAAACTATCATTATTAGAAGGATTATCTTGGAAAAAAATGCATAAATATAAGAGACAAAATGGATTGGGGTCTTATAATTAGGACCAAATAAAAAGTCAAATGGGGACTTATAATAAGGACCGGAGGAGTAATATGTCAAACAACCCAAATAAATTATTTTACTTAATTTTGATTTATATAAATATAATATATCTCGTAAATAACATATTTTCAGCCAAAAAAATTAATTTTTAAATACTAAAACTAACAAATGGATAAATCTAAACTGATAGAAATAACCCACCATAATAGAATCTATAATACTTAGTTAACACTCATTGAAACTCAACACTTATTCCAAACTTTATATCTAAAAATTTTCTCTAAACAACACAAAATTACTATCATCAGATAAATCTAACTGAGTACAATAACTTTTTATAAAGAAAATTTTGTAATTAGGAGTAGTTTTGCTTATCAAACTGACCTGTAATGATGAAGAAAGAAGTGGGAGAGGGAGTCACACTGTGAACATGAAGAGGAGAGGAGAAGAAAAAAACGCCAAGGGGGACAGTATAAAAAAAAATTCAGGGTAAACTAAAAGTTAAGGATCCTATTTAAAATGGAGAAAATAACAGATTAGAACCCTTTTTTAATTTTTTAATATTTAAATTCTAAAAATAAAAATTAAGATGTTACATATTCTGACTTTTTCACACATATGTTAATTAAGAATTTTATCTTTTTTCGTAAGATTACATATGTATTTCAGCATCATCATTTCGCTTAACCCCATTTTATTCTCATATTGTCTCTCTAAACTTCAACATTTACCGCCATATAACCACTTTAGACTCCTTTCCAAAGTACCCTTGTACTTTTCCAAATATTCAATGTAAATTCTGTTATTATTTAGTAGGAGCCTGCTGAGGTACTATTAAGAGAATTATACACTAGTAACCTTGTGGAATTGGCTTCTTAAATAAAAATCCTGAAAAATGGGATGCTAATGGACTAAACACCCGTTAAAACAAAATTTCTTTGAAAAATAAGTTTCAAATATTAATTCAGACGATTATAAATAAAAGTCTTTTTTTCCGATGAAGACATAAATCTTAACTACAAAGTGAGAATTACATTTTAAGCTTAAATCTCTTAATAAATAAATTCTCTGTGATTTCCAACATTTAGAAAGATTTTTTATTTTTAGTTTTTACCGTCAAAAATTAATAATTAATTATCTAATTCTTATAAGGTAGTATTATTCTAAAACTATCAGCAATGAATTTCATTAATTTTTCTTTTAAAACAAAGAGTTTAGATTTTTTTGCAGACTAAATTAA